TTGTGTATAGCATACAAAATAGAAAAAAGGCTCCAGTATTTTAGTGATCATTCATCTTGATATTATTTACTTAAAGTACACAACCTAAAAAAAAAAAAAACATTTTCTTCACTTCGTGTTGCACCGATAAAAGTAGAGAAGTATGCACTGAATGCAGAGAAGTTTGATGTTGAACAAGAATACATCTCATGAGATGTTTATAAAGTGAGATAAAATTGCCATTGTAATCAAGATTAAATGTACCCCAGTAGGCCGTGATGAATAACAGATCCATGGCAGAGATCTCATTATAGAATGGGAAAAGAGGGGGAGTCCAGAAACACACATTAAACAATATGGTTCATCTACACGTATAGCTGCTTTTTCTCCTATAACTTATTACAAATCATAATTTTATATCTAAATATCATATTTTAACTTAATTTCTACAAATCACGATTGAACCACTTCTTGCAAAACACAATGTCCTGACCTCATGTTATTTCAACAGTGGGTTGGGAAATTTCAGCAGCTCGCAGCGATCCCTCACAAATGCTTAACAACACTATTACACATTGGGCTGTCTGATGAAATGTTATGTTATGGCCTACATACCATGACACCATATCAAACTCATTAACACCATTGTCACTGTCAAATGATTTGCTGTTGATTTGCCACTGAAGAAGTCTGTCATCTGTGTGCTAGGAAGATAAATGGCTCTGTGTCATATGTGATGTTTGTACTTCCCTAAAGATAAGATTTTTTTTTCTTTCTTGTTGAGGTAAAGCAATATATCAAGTGCACATGCCTCAAAAGGCCATCAAATTTCATATATCATTCCCTGTGGGAGTCAGTCACACCCATCATGTGTTTATGTATGCATCGGACAAATGAGTAAAAATCATTTCAAGGCCCATAAATGTGATGAACGTGAAGGGTCTGAGTGCATGAATTAGGGGTCACTTTGACTCCGCAGCATTAACCAGCAACCAGTCTGTCATAGTGTGAGTCAGCTCTGACTAAAATAATTATGATATGTTTTTGCAGAAAGAGCCCAGACCAAACCCAAACCTAAATGTCAAGTATTTATGTTCTGGGTTCTGGTTGTTATGTTTATAGGAACAAGTAATTGATATTTATATGTTGTATTGTTGTTGTCATATTCTCATTGTCATAACATCTTCTGTTGTTAAAGTCAGCATGAATTGAAAATGTATCCTATTGTCTAAAATGCATGTTATTAAACAGTAACACTTTAATTTAAAGTGTTATGTTACATGTACTTACTACAGTAATAACATTAATTATATTCAACTAACCCTCAACCAAACCCTAATCCTACCCTAACCATATTAGGTACATGATGTTAATTAATATTAATCTGTACTTAAATGTATAATTACACTGTAACAAGGGCACCTTCAAATGCCATTACCTTCAAATACATTTTTCGACCTTCTAATTTTAATCAAAATGTCACAACTTGATCCTCCAGTGAAACAAACTTCCTCCAGCTCACATTCAGATTTGCCTCCATCCAATCAACAATGGTGGATAGACCAAGTACCTGTCCTACATTTATTTTAATAACCCATTTCACTTGGATTTATGTCACAATACAGATGTTTTTTATTGAAAATGTAGACCGTTTCTCCTGTGCTGCTTATCGTAGTCCAGCACTGAAGCTGTCTTGTTATGTTATGACAATTTGTGGGTACTTGCAATGCTATCTCACGTACTTTTCACGTACATTCGTTTTATTTTCCATGAATAACAACTATGATTTGCTCTGAGCTCAGAAGATGTATGTAGCACAAAAAGATTCATAACTGGGGATGCACGAAGTGGATACAGTATTTACATTTGCATCTATTCATTTAGCAGACACATTTATCCAAAGCAACAAACAAATGTCACAATACATTCATTGTAAGGAGACAATTATGTTGTCTTTACAAAATCAACATTGTATTTGTATTGCACAAACTGAGGTTTGGGCTTTTTCAACATTACAGAGACCAACATTTCTAAACTAATCTAGTTTTCAAACTACTCCCACTACAACTCAGCACAGATCATCAGTCTATTCTGACTAAGTTTGTCTTTCCTAACTTATTGGACTTTCCTGTGGCAGATGATTAAAAAAAATCCCCAAAATCTGAGACATTAAAGATTTCTGACATTGATAACAAGCAATCACAGTCAGGAATGTTTTATTAGATACACTGCATTGCCAACGGTATTGGGACACCCCTTCCAACTTCCATGGCCACAGTTGTACAAAATCGAGCATCTGTGCAAGCGGACTGCTTCTACAAACATCAGTAAAAGAATGGGTTGCTCTCAGGAGCTCAGTGAATTTGTGAAATTTCCTTACTACTAAATATTCCACCATCAACTGTTAGTGGTATTATAACAAAGCTGGAAGCAGTTGGGAACAACAGCAACTCAGCCTCAGCAACTTTCTGCAGTCAATAGCTACTGACAGACCTCCAAACTTCGTGTGGCCTAAGATTATCTCAAGAACAGTGCGTAGAGAGCTTCATGGAGTGGGTTTCCATTGGCGAGCAGTTGCATCCAAGCCATGCATCACCAACTGTGTCGAATGCAAAAGCGTCGAATGCAGTGGTGTAAAGCACGCCGCCACATGGACTCTCAGACTGATCTCATGAAATGGCATATGTATGACATGCCAATTCGTATTTGCATTTTTGGCGTGCTATCAACACGCATAATCTATGTGGAAACAGTTTGGGAATGGCCCCTTCTTGTTGTCTGCACACCAGTGCACAAAGCCAGGTCCATAAAGACATGGATGAGCAAGTTTGATGTGGAGGACCGGCCTGAACAGAGTCCTGACCTCAACCCGATAGAACACCTTTGGGTGTTTAGAGCAGAGAGGTGCGTTGAAATTCGCCATAAAAACACTCCTAAACCTTATGGAAAGCCTTCCAAGAATAGCTGAAGCTGTTATAGCTGAAAAGGATTGACCAACCACATATTAAACCCTACGGATTAAGAATAGGATGTCATTAAAGTTCATGTGCATGTAAAGACAGACGTCCCAAAACTTTTGCCAATAGTGTATGTTGTATTTTACATATGTTAAGGAAAATCTATACTTTACATGGCACATTCTACTATTACGTTTGTTGTAATAATGTTAGTTTAAAAGGTTTGATCATGCCCTTAAACTTGTTTGTGAATTCACAGTGTGACTAAAGAACATAGCACAGAAATGCACATACCTGGAATCAAATTATGCTACAGTAATCTGGAAAACAGTTGACCCAGGCAGAAAACAAAGGTAGCCTTGTTCTAATGTTTGGGGATTTACATTTTTTCTCTTAGCAGGAGTCAACTTGGATATCAGAGTTGTAAATTAGAGCAGAAGTGTTTGCCAAGATAGGCTATTTCACTCTAGACAGTAGGATGTATAGTACATAATGTTGTCTTCTTCAGGGCCTCAGTAACTGAGAACTGAAGTCAGTTCATCTATTGGTTTCGGAGACCCTCTTTTGTCCCTTGAAAGTCCAGGCCACATAAACCTTAAGGATTTACAGTTCACATCTGTAATATTTTCCCAGTTACTCCCATATCCCCTGAATTTTCTGCTTATTTATGAACATTCAGGATATATTTCCTAAAGGATGAGCTGGCCAACAAGGTATTTAACCTCGGCGACTCTGTACAGAGCCAGAGGAAGTTATGATTTTGATTGTCTCTTTGACTGACCATGAATTTTTGTACAATTGTGTTATGTTGTAACAGCTGTCATGCGTGATATGCACATTAGGACATCGTACATTTTGTTGTTCATGACTTTCTTAGGGTACCCAAAAATGTAAATTCATGAACATTTATTAACATAGTCATGAATTACTCACCCTCATTTCATTCCAAACCTGTAAGAATTTCATCTTCGGGACACAAATGAAGATCTTTTTATTAAAATCTGAGAGATTTCAGTCCCTCCATTGACAGCTAACTACCACTTTCAAGCCTCAGAGAGGTAGTAAAGGCATCATAAAAGTTATCCATGTGACTCCAGTGGTTTTACCTGAATTTTATGAAGCAAAGCAAGTGCTTTGTTAGCACAAAAAATATAATTTTTCCCATATTTTTTTTTTGGTCTATTTAGTGTTTGTTTATTACTAGAAAAAATATCACATATAATTAATTATAATAATGTAATAAAAACTAAATTATATTAGTTTAAAAAAATAATTGTACTAGTAATAATAATAATAGGCCTATTATTATTGGATAATAAAATATTTTGAAAATGCATTATTTTTATTATTCACACTGGTGTTATTATTCTGTACAGTTTTATTAAAATATGATGAAGTATGGTCAATATATTTACCAAAATAATGAAGTGCTGTGTCGTATAATGCCAAAGATACGTATGTGGTTTGAAATCCTAGCAAAACTGTAGTCATGTGTCATCAGATTTAATTACACTGTGCCATGCCATCATGCGCCATGCTGTGGTTCTAATCAATTGTGATCTGTTATGACTGAGAAAAGTCTGACCTTTGACACAGGTAACTAAAGACTGGAAGAGATGGTGTCTGTTCAGTGCCTCTGCTGGAGAATGATTAACATCTGTCTTGTGTCAGGATTGGGCTACGAAAGTACCGCTGCATTCTCCACCATTAATCATCAGTTCAGGACAGGTCTTATCAAGCAGACGTTTGAGACTCCATGTACATTTTCTTTGTAAAAACACATCTGACCTTGGGCAAGGACAAGTTTGATTAATTGGCTGATTGGATGAAGGTAATTTAATTTGAATGTGTCCCTCAGCAGCTGTAAAAAGATGAAGGGTGGAATACCTCCTCATGAAGGTCACTGCTTGTAACCTGTGAGGGTCCCGCAACAGGCTTGTGTGCATAAGTGTGTACTTATGTATGTATGTGTGTCTATCCCTCAGGGAACATGCCTTGTTTATTTTCTAGTACCTAGTCAGGTAATCTTTAACTGTAAACTTTTTCATTGTTTGGTCCACTCACCTTGAGCAGAGGTGGAATTTAGCAGGAAGAAGCATTGTTGTGTTTGGGTTTTAGTTTTTTTCAGTTAGGCTGATTACTAGGGTAAACTCACGGCACCCTCCAGCTCAGGCGAGGAGATTACGAACCATGGGGCTGCAGAGGCGCTGCCATCTTTACATAAAGTTCTGACTTTCTATTTTAACTAATACATTTACTATCAAAAGAGAACATTGACTATCAACAAATGTTCTAAAGTAAAAAACGTTTTTATTTCGGCCATGAAGATCTCAGCTTTGTGGGTTCTAGTGGAATGTGCCTGCAGAGTTCTTGGCATCTCGACTGCTGTAGGTAGGACTGTCTTTTCTGTTCTTTTGTTGGCCGTTGTTTCACTGAAAGTGCTATACATTACCTTTAAATAATAATAATACAAAATATATGTTACCAGTTGCATCAAGAATGCATGGGTGCCTTTTTTTACCGTGTGATGGACATTTGGAAGTCTGAAATGTACATTTTGTGCTCATTACCCAAAATAACCTGCTTTAAAATGAGGGAAGGAAAGGCACAGTTCAGTGTTTAGGAAATGGGACCCATTTAAGTTGAAATAGAGGGTAAATGCATGTGTAAAAAAATAACAATATCACTGAGACTCCAACAATTACATTCAATGGTAAACTTGAATACCAACAGGAGTTTTGTTTTTATTAAATAATAATAATAATAATAATAATAATAATAATAATGGGACTAATATATATTACTTTATTTATTTATTTATTTTCACCTGATGGAGTTTTGGTTCCTTGCCATTGTCGCCTTTTTCGTCTTTGGCTTTTGGTTTCCCTAGTTGCGGACATTTAATCTAATATTCAACAATATTATTGATCTGTCTGCATTGACACCATTTTATGATAACTGAGCTGGATGATGACATCACCGTTTTCTCCAGAACGGCTATGTATAAATTAACAAAATAAATAACTTTTTTTACAACAAAAACGAACGATCACTGAACTTACTTAAGCTGGACCATGACACAATTTTCTTAAACAAACTTGGTTGCATTATTTTTCTGTTATCACTGTAAAGCTGTAAAAAGCACTCTATAAACTAAACGGTGACTTGACTTGCCTCTTAAAATGTTTTTACTTGTTATAGCCTTGATTATCTTGTTATCTTGTTATCTTTTCAAGGTGTAATGTGAATAAAACAAGCTAGTATTATGAATTACATGATAATAATACTAGGTGTATTTACTCATTTTTTAGTAAGAAAAATACTTTTTACTTATTTCATTCACAAATCTGATAAAAAATGTTTCAAAATGTTTTTGCGTTGCACAGAGATCTGTAAAATTCTCACACATTTTAAATAACACATGTATTGTATTTTATTTATGATTTGTACAATTGTTTCCAAAGCCAGGGGTTAATTTTGGTTTATTTGCCCAGCAGTGGTGTATGACAAACCTGACATCTAGTGGCCACAATACAAATTGCATTCCATTTTTGTGAAAAGTCCAAAGATTTTGCCTGCTATTTAAATTTAGAGTTTGAAAAATACATTTTTATGATAACACCAATTCTCACTGTTAACTAGTTATACTGTATATGCTACTAGTTATCTGCGATTAGTACTTGTATAGTACCTATAATAAAGCACATATTAATGGCTTATTCTGCATGACTGCATTGTACATCCCTTAATCGTCCCTTATACCTAAACTCAAGGAGTTTTTTAGGCAAATTAGGCAAAATTCATAGTTAATTGATAATGATTTCTGCAGGTTAAGTTGAATGTGTGTGTGTGTGTGTGTCTGTGTTGTCAGTGCTTTGTGCAGTGGGTGTAGAGACTCAGAGACAGGGGGAGTTCAACAGCTTGGCCATCTACCTCCTGTGAGTATAATAAGCTGCTGTGGAAGGTATAGCACAATTTTATTCATATAAAAGTTCTCTGAAACACATCTTCCTGTGACTTCCTGTGAATGTGTAGGCAGTGTTCCGGCTTTCGTGTTCCATCAATATTACATTATTATAAATATATATACGTATATAAAAATTATTATTATTTTTTTAATCGATTTTTGACATTTGTGAATCTATTCAGAATCGTCCACATCGCGATGCATCTACGAATCAATTTTTCCCCCACCCCTAATACACTCACCAAAAGGTTTATTTGGAACACCATACTAATACTGTGTTTGACCCCCTTTCTCCTTCAGAACTGCCTTTTATTCTACAAGGTGGTGAAAGCATTCTTTAGTAATGTTGGCCCATATTGATAGGATAGCATCTTGCAGTTGATGGAGATTTGTGGGATGCACATCCAGGGCACGAAGCTCCCGTTCCACCACATCCCAAAGATGCTCTATTGGGTTGAGATGTGGTGACTGTGGGGGCTATTTTAGTGCAGTGAACTCATTGTCATGTTCAAGAAACCAATTTGAAATGATTGGTCAGAAACAATGCAAAGGTAGGCCGTAGCATTTAAACGATGCCCAATTGGCACTAAGGGGCCTAATGTGCGCCAAGAAAATATCCCTCACACCATTACACCACCACCACCAGCCAGCACAGTGGTAACAAGGCATCATGGATCCATGTTCTCATTCTGTTTACGCCAAATTCTGACTCTACCATCTGAATGTCTCAACAGACATCGAGACTCATCAGACCAGACCATTTTTTCAGTCTGTCCAATTTTGGTGAGCTCTTGCAAATTTTAGCCTCTTTTTCCTATTTGTAGTGGAGATGAGTGGTACCCGGTGGGGTCTTCTGCTGTTGTAGCCCATCCGCCTCAAGGTTGTGCGTGTTGTGGCTTCACAAATACTTTGCTGCATACCTCGGTTGTAACAAGTGGTTATTTCAGTCAAACTATATTGTGTATAGTTCACCCAAAATGAAAATTTAGAGTTTTAGTGGCAGTACTACATTAAACTACTATAATGTTGAATATAATGTTTAATAATGCAATGGGGGAATATTTGTGGGTCCTTATAATTCCAAATGTTTTATGTTACCAGTAAAAGGGGCCTACATTTATATAGTCAGTACAAGCATATTTGTATAAAATAATTCTGTTTTCAGCTTCAGAATCATGAGTATTTTTATTCTGTTGTCACTATTGTCCTATGCATTGGGTTACTAACCAAGCACCAAGTCCAAGCCTATTCATTTCCACACCAAATGTAATACCACATTTTTGCAACAGTTCATTTTTTGTTAAACTTTTTGAATATATTATTCTGATACATACATGCGATACTCCAAGTCATATGTCTTGGAGTTTCGCTATAATATTGTATGGTGAGTTCTGTATTGTGATACTTTATGTATCGAATCGCGGCATGAGTGTATCGTTACACCCCTAGTAAATCCATATAAATATACAGGGCTATTAACACAATTAATGCAAAAAACAGAAGTTCAAACACAAAATTCTAAAGATGGCTATGTGCTTGTTTTTAAAGTCTATAAGAAACATGGTCATTGAAGGCCACTGTCATTCCATTTCTAACTATAGCTGGCAATACAGAAGCGCCTCTTGAGAATTGCACACAGATGGAGGCAAATGGGCCTCTTGTCCCAGATGATCTGATCTTTCTGGGCTCACAGCCAGACCAGAGAGGTTCTGGATGAACAACAGGGAGATATTTCCATAGGGATTATGCGGTTGTTCACATGCATGAACACCAGAATATCATAAATAGCCCGAAAATGTGTGATCAAATATCTACTGAATGGTAATACAGTTAATATCTTCCTCTGGATAAAAAGCATGAAAAAGAACAAGTGATTAAAGTTAACATAAATTTGGACATATTCATAGTCCGTTTTACTTTATTGAGGTGTGATTCAGAAAACATGTGAGGTGCGACTTGATTTGATTCTCCATGAACTGATTGCATTGTGAGAAGTGGCAATGACATTTTAATCGCTCACCAATAATATTAATTGAGTATGATTTCATCTGTTTAAACTTACTTTCTTCCTAACAAAATGTTAGGAATTTTATAAACCACTGCATTACTCATATTTATATTCCCACAGGGTTTCCTCGATGGTGATCATGCTTTTTGAAGTTGCCTATTTCATTGACGCTCTGTTGGCAATGTGCCTTCCGTACGTACGATCAGATTATATGAATCATGTACTTGCTTGTGCGATTTTAATCAAAGCATTTACTCATATCTGTTTTTCTTGCTTGCAGTTGTCCACCCACATGGAAGGTTTTCATTCTTTGGAAGAAGATGGCCAAAGTTGGAGGTTTTCAGAAATTTCTATACTACACAATGATGTCTGTGATGTGTTTCCTGCATCCAGTGCTTGCATGGCATGCTGTAATACCAGGTGCTTTCAAATTTTTACATAAATAATATATAAATAATTCTAAATTTCACCAAATGATAAGCATTACTGTAAATCAAAACAATTTAAATATGTAAATATCTGCTAAAAGTGAATTCTGACCAAGTTTAGGAACACACTAGCATACAGGTTAACATGAATTAAGAAACTTTGCCTATACTTTACAGGAGTTATGCTGGTAGTGACTGGATTCTTTAACTTCATATTGAGCAAAAAGAAAAAGGCAGATCTGCCTAAAGAGTCCAGTGCATCGTACTGTGACCCGGCTCTGTCTTCAGTCTGTGTCCCAGACAGAGGGGACACTGAACACGTCTCTTTCTTCCACGTCATTTCCGGCAAAAGAGCATCTTTTTTTCCAAGCAATAGCCGACTGCATGGCCCCACAGAGAGGGCTCAGTCAGTGAAGAATGCCCAACGCAAGAAAAGACAAACAGACAAAAGAAATGTGCACTTCATTGAGAGTCTCAGATGTAGTGATACTGAAATGGAAGAATACCATGAGGTGGAGCCAGAGGAGACCATGTCAGATAAAGCACCAATGATTACACTGTAAATGTGAGTGATATAAATCAGTGTAGGCATGCCATGCCATGTGAAAAGTTAATACAAATACCTCTTCTTAGAATATAAGGAAAATATTTTTAAATCAATGTTGTAAACTATATAGGGAAATTCAGTTGGTACATCATTATACGAAAGGTTAAAATGAATTAATTTGTAGGCTATTTACATATAAATTACACACAAGGAATTTTTTTATAATAACGTTATAATAAATTTATAATGATAAAATTATGTTTCTACTCATTATTTTCATTTTAATATTTAAAGCTGCAGTCTGCATTTTTTCCTCATTGTCGCCATCTCTGTCGAAATCTGCAATTGCAATCATTTGTGGAATTATCAACTTTACGTGAGTTATAGTTCGGCATGACACAGCGTGGATGAACACAATGTTTGAGGAGAGTGTGCATCTGGTCTGTCAGTCACCGCGCCGATTTGGATACTGGCATTCAGAATCACAGTATGACCAACATAAGAATTTTCAATGGAAAATGTCATCTGAACTAGTAAGTAATTTTGTTCTGGTTCTGACATTGGAGTAAATCGCGCTGATTAAATCTAACAATCGCTTATCATCACTCAAAATTGTGCAAATTATACTTTGTTCTCAACTTGTTAATGTTAACAACGTCAGCATTGCGTGACTACATGTAATGTCATTCCGATTTGTATCCATGTTTTCGCATGGGTCCGGGTGCAGTCTTTTTTTTTCTGTAAGTTAGCCACTCCGAAGTCCGAACGAAGTCTTTTGCATTTTACAGCGGGTGAATCTATTGTCACTGGTGATTGTCATGATCCGCCATCAAATTAATAAATTTAATTATATCAAGTGCTGTGAGAAAAGGCTATAAATCACCACCTCCAACATCCTCACACGCAATATAGCCGACTAGCCGAGACTCTTTATATGTACAGAATAGATGTGACGTAATGACGCAAAGACATGCTCGAATCTCCGGCGGAAATCCACCAGTACCACTGGAATTAAAAACATTATGGGCTATATGCACGCATAAGTTCCGCATTTGACGTAAGGATGCTCGTCCATTTCCGGTTGTGTAGATTAAAGCAGAGGAAAACCGGAGAAAACGGGATTATGGCAGAGTCTTCAATATTACTGTCCTCCCGTCTTTGAAACGAAACGTACATACGTTTAGATGTAATTTTATATGTAGTTATGTTTATTTAATATAATTTTAAAAAGAAGCATAAACACAACGAGGGGTGTCTGTTTTATCTGTTTTTGTGACCAACGTTTCATTAGTATAACCATGGAGTATAAAATTCAATATAAATTCTCGGTATTGCATTGGACTCTATGATCGGCGGAAGTAATCGAGCATCCTTAATCCTTCACCGGAAATAACGCCGTGCATAGAGCCCATTACAAGCTTACCGCTTTGAATCAAGCTACGGCAAGCAGATAGCGTTGAACACTGACTGGTTATGAATTTTCTCCAATATGTATTTTTGATCATTTTTAACCCCCAAAAAAGCAACGGACTGCAAAATTGTGGCTGTCATAAAACCAATTTATTCAAACATTCAAGATACAATGAATATGCAATTTAGTGCATAAATTTAGCAAAATGCTCCTAAGTTAATTGTTCTTGCTGACCTGTTTTTGGGCATTGAATTAATTTTCTAAGGTACAACTGAAACACAGATCGAACGATTGCATGCGACAAGACATATTTCAGTAAGTTGTACTGTATCTTTCAATATACTTCTTATGATGTTCATTCATGTTTATTTCGTGTTGTAACAAGTAAAGCGGAAGAGATGAACTGCTTGAACTAAGGTGCTACAACGATTTCATGCCACAAAACTCCAAAAAAGATTGTGACAGTTCGAAAGACGTCTATGGTCTCATCCCTGTAAGATTTATTGTGCTTGCAATTTTACCCTTACCAACCACACATGAGGAAATCATACCTGGTACAGATTATATATATATATATATATTATAATATTATGTAAAAAATTATATATATTTATATACAGTATATATACAGTATATATACAGTGTATATATATATATATATATAAAAATGCTTACTATTGTTAACATAGTTCTTTTACAAGAAGCGAGCTCCCTATTTAAACACTGTCAGCAAAGAGCTGCCTTTTATTCCAGTCTGTAACCTTAAGCCTGGATCTTCTGTACCCAGTCTCCATATGCCAATACAATTAGGAGATGCAATTCATCATACTGACCCAGACAAGAGGGTTTTCAGTCTAAAGACAGGACAGCAACCCCCCCAGGCGTAATTCCTCTCCATTAACCTGTATGGATGTCTTCAAAATCCTGAATACTTGAGTAATATAGGATATGCTGCATTCATGTGTTGTTTTTACTTCATGGAAAAAATATTCTATTAAACAATAAATACATTGCAATTGTGTCGTGCTTCTAACTGTGTTAATCGAATAGCTTCCATATTTTACTGCCAATATTAGCTAGTCGCAGAGCAGACATTGTTCAAAACAACTGGGGTGAAAAATCTATGAGCATGGGTCAGGCAATGATGCTTTTAGAATTACAAGAATTACACTCCCAAATAAACCCAGTAATAAATCTTTCTTGATCTTCTTTGGCTTAAAAATCACCCTTGATAACTACAAATGATCAAATACAAAATTAAAACTATGGGAAATACCCATAAGCTCTTGTGGTTTAATGATGTAATTATGCCAACTAAAAGGGGGCATTTAAATAGCATAACTGTTATTTAAATTAAGAGATTTTAGCTTTTAGTATTATCAAAGCTGTTTTAAATAGATGTTTTGGGCGAAGTCACTATTAGGATGATTTATGTTCCCTTTAGTGAACTTGGACCCTGATCAATACCATTTGCCTTCACACAGATGAATGGTGATGAATAGCAGAAGTGCAGTTGTATGTGTTCTCTGAGAATTTAAATGTATCCAGTGTCTAGCCTATAGAGTCATAATTTCCGTTTTATATTTAGCATAGTGTCTTTTCTATATTTGAGACAATTCAAATAAAATAAAGTCGAAACACATATACGCAGATCTGAGATCATTTATATTCTTGCAACAATCTAGCTTAAATTGGATAATTCACCCAAAATTAAAAAAATCTGTCATCATTTACTCACCCTCATGTCATTCCTTCTTCCGTGGAACAAAATATAGGCCTGTGGTCTTTTTTTATTCTTTCAATGGAAGTAGTCACCAAAATGTTTAGGTTACACTGTTCTTCAATAAATCTTGCTTTTGTTATTTACACAAGAAAGCCATACTTTATTAAGACATATGGGTGAGTAAATGGGGACAATTTACACAAAATTGAGAATTCTATCTCTTAAGTATACTCTTCGTTGTTATTAACCACAGCTGAGGCCCGAGAGACACTATATTCCTTATGCAAAATAGAAACAAGCGTCCATCCTTCTTTAGAATTTTGTGTTTTTGACTTCTGTTTTTGCGTTAGCCACATACTCTCATGTCTAGTTATTAGCTGGTGACCATGAGCATTGTAATGTTTAAAGAGGACGTCAAAACAAATGTCAGTAAACCGGGAGGATTTTAAAACAAGTGGTTCGTTCATAAATCCATTTGATCTTTCCTTCATGTTGTGGAAATACAAACTGGAAGTCAGAAGATGTGCAGTGCTGAAAAGGGGGGGTGGGAATAGGCCTACATATTTGCTCACTGAAATATTTTGAGTAGCCTATCCAAGTAGGATTCTGGGTTTGCAATTTGAAACATGTAAATTCATAAATAAATTTCCTTTTTTGGCATGCCTGTTAATACAATTATTTCCCCTTTAAAACAAATCCATCCTCCCCCATGGAGGAAGTCGGCAGCTTGAAGCATATACTTCCTCAAATATTTTATCCGACCTTTCAGTCATATTTTTCCTAGACTGAGCTTAAAACAGGAAGCTCATGTTCTCCAGTTATTACACTGAAAGAAACTATCTAGTGTTGTATTTAAACGCGTGTTAAGTTCCACATTTTATTTTAACTAAAGCTTTAAATTTGAAAAGCATTAATAAAGTTGTAATATAACAGGTGGACCGAAAGCAATTTAACGTCACCCTTTCATTTGCAGTTTAATTGTCAAGTGGTTTATCGCAAGACTCCTGATGATAATTATCTTACAGACATGCTAATAACGGTGTGAACGGTCCCAGCGTTTCCCAGGGCAACCGCAATAGTCTCCCGCCCACGGACGTCTCTGATTGGCTCCGTTAATCAGCGGAGTGTAGGATTGGATTACACAGCTGCCAGTCTTCTCAACGAGTAGAATCATTATAATCCCCGAGGAAGTAGAAGGGTGACAGTGAAGTGGAATATAAAACGTTAGCTGTGTCCCAATGTGAAGGCTGCATCCTCCGAAGTCCGTATTTGAAGGACGGTTGGCCGTATTTGAAGACCGATTGCGTCACAGCCGCGCGACGAAGTACGTCCCAATTCAAAGGCTGCATCCGCGAAGACCGCATTTAAAGGCCGATTGCGTCATCGCGGTGGGATGAAGGCTGTCCCAATTTAGTTATGCATCCTCCGAAGGCCGTATTCGAAGGCCGGTTGCGTCATTGCAGCGCGACGAAGGCTTACCTAATTCAAAAGCGACGCCAAATGCACACTTCATTTCCCCGTGAAAGGAAGGATACATAAATGGACACTTCGCGGACTATCCTACCCGATCCTACCCCATAAATCATTGCGCGGGTGACGACAGCATTTTTATTTAAAAAAAGGGTGGCCGAGAGTTCAGTGGTGGACGGCAAATTCACATTTAAATGTAAAAGTATTATGTTTTTATTTACTCAAATAGCCAGAGAAACCAGTGTTAAGAGCCAAAAGTTTTTTTTTTTTCGTTTTTGTCCTTCTTATTATTCATCTTAACTCATTCGTCAGCATTGCATGGTTTTGTCAAGTGGAAATGCGAAAACGGCTTTTATAGCCTTGTATTGCATTTCTTGTACATTGTATTTCTTTATTATTCATTATTTCATTATTTTATGCAACTTTAAATGTGTACACAAAAGAGAATTCATGGCTCTGGATATTTGTTTATTTTTGTAAGGGTCTGTGAGTGTTTGCAAGGTTGATACATTTAAACTATAATATAGGCTACTTTTGTTTTGTGTCGTTTAATGTAAAATGTGTAGTGTTGTGGTCCTGTGAGGGAAAAAGTAGGCTACTTCACATTTGTACATGAATACTATCGCAGTATGAAGTTCCTTACATTCTCCCACTGGTTATTTTAAAAATTAAAGTAACAAATTGTTGGTCCATTGTCACAATATTAACAAATTGTTGCTAACTTTAACTTCGTCCCATATCAAAGTGCGCACCTGAAGCGCTCGGACCGGTCTAGCCTGCGGAGGATTGTTCTTGTCGCCTAGCAACTGTGACTGACAGCTGACGACGACGAGCGGGAGTACGTTTGCACTGGACTTTTTATATTTGGTTTAAAATATTCAAATAGGATTGACAGCCTGTATAAATATATTCACCATGGTCCATTTAGACAATAAAAAGAAAACCCTACAAAATCGTATGGTACGATTAACATTTGAATAGGCTATTGGCTATATATGTGCCTATGTTTTATCATTATTATTTTTTAGGCTATTTTCATTACAATATTTACGTAGGTTAACACCCAATATTTGAACAGTTTACAGTGTAATCTGGCTATTCAGGACGCAGCCTCTAGCATTAAACCAGCTCTGGCCAACTCTTGAGCCGAAAATACATGACTCGAAATATTTTTTTAGTGGTTATGTGAATTGAAATTATGTGATTTTATATATATTGCCCCTCATTTAAAGACAGGACAATATAAAACATAAAATTTCCAGTAAAATATAAAACAACAAAATGACAATAGCCTTTCTCCATAGCTGTTTACTCAGTTTCATTAAATGAATGATCAGGGTGGCAGCTGTACTCTCGCTCCGTTGTTTGGCGCCAGGAGCAGTAATAGGGAACACCTGGTTGCGCAATTAGGAAATCCCACGAAGGCTACATGAAGCGTCCTTCGAAGGCCAAATAGACTGCATCCTTCGAAGTCTACAGCCTTCGAAGTACGCAGCCTTCACATTGGGACACAGCAGTTGTCTTACAAAACAGCTGGGCTCTGTCAGCTCTTACGAAGGAACGGCGTTTCGTGAGATGGTAAGGAGATAATATGCAATGAAATGGAAAAGAGCACCTTATTAATGGAAATGGATTTATTTTAGGTGTTTTCTGAATAATTCTGCAGGTGAGCTTTATGTATCTAACGTTACTGTTGTCTGCTTTTGAAGGCTCCTTAGGCTTCTTCTGAAACTCTTCAAGGTAGCATACAGCAGTCAAAACAAACTTGAGTGATTAGGCTATTTGAGTGAACCTTCTGACAACGTTACATTTGCACCAGATGTGAATCACCATTTTGATATTTTTTTAATATGTGTATTTTTCCTTTTCATGATGGCAGAATATCATATATAGCCTACTTTGCATTTTTTCTGTCTTCCCAATCTTTCCAACTTCTGCAAAATAGTCACGCAGAAATCCAGCAGTGGTTTAGGTCGTTATGCTATATGAGAGTCGTTATATGAGAGTCACAGCTGCTTTACAGTAATTGGTTGGGGGGCTTCACAGTGTCATTATTTTATGGAGTTGGGGAGCATCTCTAGACAGGACCTCTTTTAAATAAGACTTAATTTTTTTTAATTTTTTTAAAAAGTTTTTAAATAAGCCTAATGCATTTTATAAGGGTGACTCAGACACAGTGGATAGTGTGTGTGTGTGTGTGTGTGTGTGTGTGTGTGTGTGTGTGTGTGTGTATATATATATATATATATATATATATATATATATATGTATATATATATATATATATATATATATATATATGTATATATATGTATATATATATATATGAAGAGTTCAGATACAAAAGCCTCTAAATGCCATTTGAAATTTTCATCTTTAATGATGATTTTTATCAAACTTGTATATTTAAGTTCAGTAATTTCACTTAAATAACAATTAATAGGTAATTATCATTGCCATTTAAGTGAAATTACTGAACTTAAATATATAAGTTTGATAAAAATCATCATTAAAGAAGAAAATTTCAAATGGCATTTAGAGGCTTTTGCATCTGAACTCTTCATATGTTTCCATTGAAAGGCGTTTTCTTGCTTTTTCACTAACATGGCATTATTAATAATTGATGAGGACAGTCATTTAGAGAGGTTGGGTTAATTCATAGAATATTCAAATGTATTTCCTTTACTGAGTAGGAGCCATTTTGTGTTTTTAACCAATTTTAGTTTGAATTTTAGTTTTAGTTTTTTTAATTCTGTCAAATAGCTTCATGTCTGATATGTGCACAAAAAAAAATACAGGATAACTATCATATGAAATACACAAATACCACGTTTTAAAAAAAAAATGTTTTATTAGAAATGAGCAGTACAAAAACAATATATACAAATTCCATATACATAACACATTTTTTTATAAAGAACTTAAGAACTGTTGAGTTAATTCTTCTTGGGACTTTTTGGTCCATTCCTCTTCCTCTTGAGCAGACAGACCTTCTTCTTCCGTGTGTTGAATTCAATCCTGGACAATAGAACAGTGAAGGTTTAATTATTAGGGAGGCCTGAAAAGCTGAGCAACAACAACAGCAAAAAAACAACAACAACAACAATGCATTCTCAACCCTATCAATGCACACCATTAATGGCAACTTAAACACTTAATATTTACCAGAGACCTTTTTATTATGACTCAACCATCCCTGAAAGCATTGGCAAGACAATCTGTATAATGCAAGCAAGGCTTGTAGTATTGTTTAACAAGTATTTTGATCATATTTCTATAAATATATCATGTTACTTTAAAACATCTTTAAATTATTAAATGCTCATTTATTAATATGTAAATATAGATTTTGTATATGTTGAATGTATGTCGAGAGGGGAGCTATAGTGAATCTATAGAATGATAATTTTTGTGTACTGCCACCCTGTGGCAGAAGTAAATATTACTAGTGCTAGGATTTCCTTCTACCACAGGGTGTCAGTTTTGAAATGTATTGAAATTGCTTAAATGAAGTTCTAAATCAGTCTAATTTTTACCTTTTAAAGATTTTTTATGAGTGGATTCATTATAAATAACTGTAAAATTGTCTTTAGAGAGGGCAGCTGTTGTTCACATACCTTTTCCAACATCTTTGCAGTTGTTTTCCCTTCTTGGACTCTGGATTTAGACAAACTCGTTTATCTATCAGCTGGAGTCTGTGGAGGAGATCATTATGTTGTCAAATGTGAGCAAACCACTTCAAACTACAGAATACATAATTCTTGATCTGAGTCATTTGCTCATGTCACCCTTCCGAACAAACTTCAGTTGAACTCTAAACTTAATTATACAAAAATGTATTTAATATTTGCATTGTTTGGTTATTGCATTTGGCATCAAAATACCAGAAAAAAAATCTGCATTTACTATCTTGCTGCAACAGAGATAATATTTCCAGTTTCTTGAGAAAGAATTTTAATGGTATTATCTGTCATATCATGCCCCCTCATGCCCAAATTGAAATTAAACGAATCCAAAATGATGCACAATCCATCGTGCCACAGTCTGGCTTTGGGCTTCCCATCAGATAAATTATATTGCGATGTGCCTCAACATGAGATAGTGTGTTATATCACTCACTGTTAACAATGGATTTCAAAACTTCCAGAAGGGATATAATTTCATGTTAATTATTAAAGACAAATTCTTTTCTACAGTATAAAGTACAGAGTGCATTTGAATATTACTATAGATTTTGGAGGCAAGGGCATTTTTTTGAGAGGTAATTTTCTTACTTTTTATTTTGCAATTATTTAGACAGGCAGTGATCATCACATGTTTTTTTTATTGCTAAAGAGTAGCACTGACATAACACTTGATGTGTTCTACATTAAAAAAAAGTCATGCGAGTTTTCAGTGACATGAGGGCGATAAATTATTTCAGCAAATAATCTGTGGAAGGTGTGACCCGATCGGAATGACCAAGTTTAGACATGATTTCCGCAAAAGTTTTAAACAAGCGAATAAGGATAAGGTTTTAAACACAAACAATTCAAAGATCATTATATATTTTAGGAAGCTTTATTTATTAATCAATCAAATCCCTCTCAATTTGCATGGGAATGATGTTTGTTTACTCACATGATTTGAACCTTGTTGCAGAAAGCGTCTTTCGGTATAATTGTGTAGTCTTTGATTTTTCTCCATTGCACCGAGCCAGTCTCCTCAATGCACTCACATTTTTCTCGAAGGGATATTGCAGCAGTCCTGTTTTCTAAAGACGGATCAAGAAACATAAAGCCATGTGTCCCACATCACCCCCATGACCAATATCTGATGTAAATCTGCAAACACTCCTGATAAGTCATTAAACGCTACTGTAGGCCTACCTGTCATGAAGTGTAAGCAGACTGAGAGCAAGAGCAGCATGCTCACATTTCTTTGCTGAGTTCTGAAAGCCATTTCACTAAAGCTGCGTCATTCACAAGAGAGTCTTTCTTTGTGTGTGTTTGCACTTGAGTGTGTACAGAACTGTCCTGCTTTTCTCCCTCACTTTCCCTCCTTTATGCGTTTCCTGTTTTGCCATATTAAGTAGGATCAGAGTCACATGATTTCAAGGAAATGCTTCAAGACAAATAAGTGATTTCTCAACACCTGTCTACTTACCTCTGCTGGTTTTGTGGTCTGGGATGCTATTGTTTTAATCAAATGCTTTACTAAATTCTTTTAGGATGAATTGTTCATACCGAAGGGTTCCCACACATTTTTCATCTTTTCATTTCTGAGACATTTGCATGCCTTTTATTAATGGATTTAAAGCAATTACTGGATGTTTAAAAACCTTAATATAGAAATTGCTTTCAAATACAGTAGTTTTTGGATGACTTGATGTCCAATTGGTGAATTGTATTGCAGAGTTCAGTCCTATGTAAACAAACATGAGAAAAAAGAAAGTAGAGAAACGCATTTAAATTCTCAGTAGTTCATGTTTATTAGTTAATTTCATATTAAACTGTAAAACTATAAAAAGACATTTTTATTTACATAATCACTGAATACATGAATTTATGATAAACTTAAATATGTATTCAAACTGGCCGATGTGACTTGAATAGCAGGGCTCAGCTCATCCCTGTACAGCATGTCATGGTTAAATGCTGTCCCTGTTGTAACATGCCTTCGTTACTGTATATGCTGTTCCTTTGGGCTCCATACACATGTGCACTCCTCTGAATTCAGCCTTTTCTCGTGTTCTTGGCTTGTTAAGTACATATGAAAGTACAGCAGCGCCATAGGCTTTGAGCGGGATCTTCTTCTGATAATGTCAAGTTTTCTGCCTCCATCTGTTTAGAATTTGAGGTTAAGATGTGGCCTTCTTGGATTTTCTGGACTGCATCCTCTTTCTTTGCCTTGGCCCTGGGTTTTGTCTGCGTATGCAGTTTTTACTGTCCTTGCCACCCCTTTGCATCCTAAAAAAACAAAACAAATGGATCAAGTGGATTAAAACATGCAGACCACCATGATATTTAGAGAGAGTGATGTTTGGATATGCTGGGCTTTTGTTTACAAACTCATTTGATGATAACACTCTCTTACCTTTGCCAACATTTCAGCAGTCTTTTTCCTTGGCGTCCCTCGGGATTGAGACACACAGGATTATTGTTTTTCTGCCGTACGACTCTAATGAAAAGTACAGAGAATAATAGAACATGTAAACCCAATGGTGCACATATACATTTTGAATCTTATGAAGTAAAATATGCGGACTACTTACATGATCTCATTTTGTAAGCAGTTAGGTCCTTTTGGAGTGACTTTGAGATCTGAAAATGGTCCATGGACTCTGCTTTTGACCTGTGGACACTGACAGGTCTTTGGAACATGTTGACTATCTACCGCTTGGACTGTAAAAAAAAATAAAAATAAAGTTAATAAACAACCATGATGTAACTCAAAAGTTAGCGGTCAGTCAACTTTTTATTTTTAAAATAAATACATTTTATTAAAAAAAGAAGCATTAAATTGATCAAAAGTGACAGTAACAACTATTTTGATTCAAATGATTTCTATTTAAAATAAAAAGTTGTTCTTATATTCTTTCTATTCATCAAAGAATCCTAAAAAATAAAGAATCATGGTTTTCACAAAAATATTAAGCAGCAAGAAAAAAAAACTGTGATAATGTGATGGATTAAGTGACACTGAATACTGGAGTAATGCTGAAAATTCAGCTTTGCCATCTCAGGAATAAATTACATTTTGAAATATATTCTAATAGAAAGCAGAAAGTTACTTGTATAAGAAAATATTTTTAACTTAAATTAAGTTATTTCAAATAAATTCAGCCTAAACACAAAAGACAAATTAAATCAAACTTTTGGGAGTGTCTATGATAACCATAATTTAATTCAACATGGTTAAATCGCATTACATCTATGCAAAACTTGATGTTCAAAACAAGTAGAAATTTGTCTGCTCAGAGGGTTTTGGAATCTACTGTAGTTCATCTGTTCGCATACACTCACCTGTTAGGAGTATACTGAGGTTGAAAGCCAGCAAAGCATAAGCTATCTGTGTCATCATGTTGAGAGTGTTTCTGTGGGTTATTGCTGAATGACCTGCTGGCGTTTTATACTCTCTCTGAGGGACTTCCCATGACACTCCTGCTTTGTCGCTACTCCCAGTTTCAAGCCATTTTGACATGAATGAGAAAGCTAGGAATTTCCAAATACCCACTGCTTCAGGAATCTTTTAAAACTTGGTCACATGCACATAATCACAATACAGTTCACCCTTATGTCATTCCAAACCCATATGCTGATATTTTTTTCACTGTATTGAAAGTCTTCTGAAGCCAGATTATAGTTTAATATGTGGAACAGACTGAAATCATTTTTCACAGAAAATATTCCTATCCTTATGTGGAATCTCATCTGCATCTTTGTCAGATTCAAAAATGGCATGTCAGTGTGTCAAGCCAGTTACTATTACTAATTCACACTTGTCATAGTTTTATGGTGTTTTTGTTCTTTTTTTTAGCTTGACAGATCACTTTTCCATATATTCATATAGAATATAAAATAAAAATAAAAAGTATTACTTTGTGACCTTTCAGAAGGTCTGAAAACATGTCAAGGCAAGACTTACTGCTAGATTGTTTAAACTGTAGGATCATGTGATTTCCCCTCATTCCCGTGATTACTTTCACTTGGTCCTCCTGCACAAGATGATGAAATGGGTCCTTTTGGATCATGATGAGTCACATAACAAATGGCATATCCTGATTCGCTCGCTCATTAATTATAGCCTATTATTAACCTGTTCTCGTTTTCCTACCTTTCTCTTCCATTGTCTTGCTCTTATAGCTGAAAGTCATTCTATCAAGGGAACACCACCATGAATCCTGACAAGATCATCTATGTGAGGCTGAATGGGGAGAAAGTTATTGCAAAGTAAGAGTTCCACGTCTGATACATGCTGGACATTAAAAACACACCTCCCAAATGAAAGCCCTCAGTGTAACACCTTTGTCTTTTTCAGGTCTGATATTATGTCCCTTCTAAAAACGTATAACTGCTACCACGAAGGAAAAAGCTTTCAGCTTCGCACTCGTGAGGTATGTAACATCAGTGAAAGTGATAACTGTGGATCTGGATCAAATCTTTTGTGTGTTCTGGTTGGTGATTAATAGACCTAATCTTACCTACAGAAGAGTTGCGTCAGAGTGTGTGATACAAAAGGCTATTGTCTCGGAATGGAATTTTGTATGTGGGACATTGGAATGAGTGTTCAGAACAGCTGATTGTCACTCTCTGCAAACCGTAGCCTTAAAACGCACTGAAACACATAAATGGGCCTTGATGACACATGATCGACTGCATTTTTTTATGCAGAACCTATCCCAAATTGAACTGTAACATCATTACAACCATGCATTATTATTATTATTATTTTGTTGATACTCTGAAACATTTATTGTAGGGTCAATTGTTATTCAGTTCATAATAATAATATAATAATAAATGTCATTGTCTCTAAGGCTACCATGGGTAGTTTTGTAATTCTGTGAAAAAAAAAAACCCAAATTATTTTCCTATTGTAAATATGAATAATATGGTTTATAGATAGCCCATATTAATTGTAATTTGTTTTGGTTTTTAAAAAAAACAAAAAAAAAAAACAAATTTTAATTAAATTTTGTGTGCTACAAGTAAATATAAACAAAACATTATAAAGTAGAGAATTAAAGATTATTAAATATTTATTTTTAAAAACTGTGTTAAAACTTTGCTGTAACCTATTAACCCTTTAGGTTAGTGCTAGATGATTATTTAAATCAGTATTTAATTCAGTATGAAATGGAAATTCACTGGATCTATTTTCTAAATGCGTGTTATAGATCTTATTGTGAACAATTCATCATTGCTTTTTTGTGTTTTAAAAAGATTTTTTTTACCTCTGAAAGTTTAATTAAAATGTCCAGTGAAAACAACTGGCTTCTCTCACATTTTTCCCATCACTTTTGAGAGCAATTGCATCTCAAAATCAATTGCTTTCGTGTGAACGACCGAGATGGCAAAAAAACACACACAAAAAAAACCCTCAATTATTTCTAATTTTATCTCAACAAGTTAACTTATTGCTGTTTTTAATATTAGGGTTGGTCTGGTCTGTCAGCAAACAGGACAGTCTGTCACATTGTTATGCTCTGTTGGATCTGTTAAAGTCTCTGGGAAATCCCTCCAGGCTGCTTGTGTTTGAGAACGAGTTTAACCTCAGTCAGTACGATACTGAAAGTAAAGAGATTTTCCAATGCTCTGACAGACATAGTGCCTAAAATAACTGATTGTGACAACATTTTATACGTATAATAGGACACCTTTTTTTGCAATTAAATGGCATAAATGGTATAAGAAGTTTATCCATTAATATGCCACATTTGTACATAATACAGGCTGGAAGATCAAGTTCAGTGCTTAAGAGAAAAAGAGAGAGGGTGTGTGCGTGTCTCTTATTTGTTTCTGGTTGAGACTCACATATTTCTGAAGCTTGCTGTTACTGTGCTTTTGCAATTGTCAGGATTTTAATTATTTTTCTTCTAAAACTGATTGTACAGACCAAACCTTAAGGCCTAGACTTTAAACTTGGTCAGATGGTACAGTAGGTCTCAATTTGGGGAGAGACTAACATGATATCACCCCAAGCGGCCAATGGGGGGGGGGGGGTGGGGGGGGTGTGGGGGGGGGGGGGTGCTACAGCAATCAAAAGTTGGAAATCGTTCTTAACTCCTAGACCTTTTGTCATAGACTCAAATGTCTTATATCATTGGAATTCGTGACTTAATATCGGCTGGATACATTTTACGCCGTTTTGGATTTTGTCCCAAACTTACTTGTGCAAACTAGTTCCGATTTTTCCCGATCAGAACCAAACCAGTGAAGAATAATTCTCTGGAGTCTGAAAATCAGTAATAATCGAATAAATCAAAATTTATATTCATGTACGCTAAGGGGCACCAAATGTTTGACCTTGGCAGAGCCACTTTTTCTAAAATGGCTATAATTCGAGAACAAAATGAGATTTTCACGAAACTTCGTTCATGTGTATAGGCTCAAATGTGATAAAAAATCGATTGAACACTTGGTGGCGCTAACAGGGGGGGAAAAAAAAAACATGACAATGGCTATAATCACACAACCGTAAGTCCGATTGAATTGAAAATTGGCATGTACTGTCTTTGTCCAAAGTGCTATGATTGTCTATCTATGAGGACATTGGTGTATCTAAAAAAAACATGTCTGCCATCGGCCAATTAATTTTGAGCACCTATTAGACAAGGTTAATGGAAGCCGATTGGAAGGAACCTTGGTGGGCATGTTCGACTCATGGCCCTTGAGGTCTGTGAGAATTTTGAATAAAATCAGCCACAAGATGGCGCTAAGAAGTTTTACGCCTCAGTAATCCCTTGGTATTTCTCACATCAACACAATATTCATATTATTTGATAGATCTCCTCATTCTGAACAACATTGCCTCTAGAACCACTGCTGTCAATCAAATCATTCATTAAATATCCCCAATTATGAATAAATCCTAAATGAATACCCGACACTTCACGAAAATAGGTGAGCATATACAGTACAACATATGATTCTAAACAAGTGTGCAAACTTAAATGGAGATCGGGCAATAGGTGGTGCTATAACAGTTAAAAAGCTTAAAAAAACATATATATCCTATGGTAAATTGGCTGTAAATGGTCTTTTTCATCTATGATATAAGTGGATACATGCTTGCTAAATAAAACAATATCTTTTACAGATAATGCTTAAAGGCCTTGAATGCTTGAACCCTGATCATTTCTGCTCGCAGATATATTTATAATTATTATTAGTGTTGAAAATATCCTCTCCTCCTCTGACTCCCTACGTTCTTTGGTTCCACCCCAGACATCTGATGACTTATGTATATGTTGTAATTTGACCGTCCACTGAACTCAGCATGAGCAGAGCTTTCATTTGAGCCTAATATTAAGGCTCTATGACAATTTTAAGAAAATGTCATTTAATGAGCCAAAAATTGGCTGCTATGTTGAATTTGAAGTTCAAAAATAGGACAAATAAACAAATCTACATAATTTATGAATTTCTTCCCAAATAGTCTCAGAAACCATGTGTTAAGCAGCACTCTGGGTAAAACAATTATAAAGTCAATTTCAAGCTTGGCTGACGGCAGCCATTTGGGATATAGGGCTCTTTAACCAGTGAGAAACAAACCTTTGCTCTCCACGGTCACAGAACTGCTATATCACTATAAAATGCTATAATATGTACAGTATTAATGTAGCAGGAGTTGTCATGCTCTTGGTCCCAAAGATAGTTTACTTCTTGCAGGACTTAACCAGCAACCTTCAAGGTAGCAGCCCTGCGTCACTATGGGAATATCTCCATTGATAAGATCATTCAAAATTAGCTGTGTATTTTGACAAATTATCTAAATATATAACATATAAAATTAAGATGATTTACCAGTGCCGCTTTCTTAGAAAGGCTTTATTGCAAGATCACATTCCACTCACATTGCTTCTGGTTGTTTGTTTAGTCTTTCAATATGAGCCATTAGACTCAGCCGAACCCAGCAACCACCCATGTCGTTTGCTCTGAAAAAAAAAGGGACCTTTTTGGATACTTCCAGGAATCCACTCCAAAAAAAACGTGTTAATATAGCCTAAGCCTACTACAGAAAAACTAATCATTGAAACTGAAAATTTGCCAGGTTTGTGCATCACATCTTTGAGAGAATTTTCTTTGTATTTTATTGTTTATTTTGATTTACTTTTTAAAGTTAACCAAGTGACCAAGTTTCCAAGTGAGCAATTTCTATAAAATAACATTGATCAGAAAGAAATTATATGGATGTTCTTTCTGTATAGTCGACATTAAACTTAATTCTTCCTTTTTGCATTACATATAAAATAATGTAAATTGAAAAATGTGATGATATGAGAAAATATGTTTTATTTTTTTCTTACCAACATGTTTTCTCTGTGCGCACTCAGTGTCAGGTCAGTGTCGCTCTGCTGGTTATGTTTAGACAGTGCATGCTGTAAAATTAAAAGTTAAATGCTGCCAGCAGAGGTCACTGCATAACTGGACTTACATCTCAAAAAACTTGCCTTGTGGACCTGAAACTGCAATAGATGGGGTTAGAACCTGGCCTTGTTTTATTTGCATAATTTGCTAAGGGATAATACTGTGGGAAACTATTGATCTGTGAAAATGAAGGTTTACAGAAAGCTTTTTGTCAGATGAAAGTATTCTCAAGCTAGAACTTCCATAACATATTTATTAGGATTAGCCTATTTATGCATTTTCTTCTCCCTTGTCTCACCATCATGCTCAATATTATTATATTGTCTATGTGGCACAATTTGACTTATGGTCATGTTAGTATTTCTTTATCAGTTTAAAACACACTCAGATAGATAGATGGATGGATGGATGGATGGATGGATGGATGGATGGATGGATGGATGGATGGATGGATGGATGGATGGATGGATGGATGGATGGATGGATGGATGGATGGATGGATGGATGGATGGATGGATGGATGGATGGATGGATGGATGGATAGCATTCCTAATATAGATAGACATTTTAGCAAAAGAACACAATAACATTCTTCAAGTCTATTTTTTATTTTATTTATTTTTTTATTTTAAAAAGCATAGAATGTAGAAAACCATGCCTTTGACAGCAAACATGTAAACATAAGCAAAAAACATTTGTACAAAAAGTTTCTTCAGACAATAAATTAAGAAGTTCAGTTCAATTCTCCATTGCGTTCATCCATCAAACGTTCAGTGTTATCCTCCCATCAGCATGTCACATATGCTTTGGCGCATTAGAGTAACCACAAAGCAGCAGGTGCGCTGTCGGTCCTGCGCAAATTCTCTCCGTGTGACTGTAAGTGTGTCTGTGCAAACAACCAGTCCAGTGGATCTTTAGTGCCACAGTCCTTCTGGCTGCTGAACCTCAGCGTAACCTCATCCAGGCCGAGCGAAATGCGGCAGGGTCGCAGAGCCCTGGAAGAGCCTGTGTGCTTCCCCACGGGTTTACGCCTCTGAGTCCTGGATATCCTCAAAGGGCCGCAAGCAGGCTGGGCCAATTCTTTAATGGAGTTCACGTATTCATCCAGGGTCTGCGAGAGGTCCTCGTGCGACTCCGTTATTGTCGGTAGAGGAGCCACAGACAGCAGTAATCTTCTGGGTTTCATCCTGGAGAGGGATGAGCAACAGTTAGTTATTTATGCAGCCTGCATTTGTAATGAGATTTGATAGTCAAAAAATGTTTATTTAATCATTCAGTTGATCAAAAATCTCAAATTTACCTGTAAGACAAGGTTCTACAGTAGCATCAGAGAGGTGATTGTTGTAGAGAGGTTGTGCCTGTGTTTGGTTTGTTCTGGACTGGCTTAGAGGCAGCTCAACTCCTTTTATACAGCCACGGCAGTTAAGGACCATAAGCCAAGGCCAATGGTGCTAAATTTAGCTAAGCTCTGACCTTGCATGACTGACAGGAAGTGTGTGTGTGCTGAACGGAGAGTAGAGAGGAAGCTGACCGCAGCTGCCCTGAATGTTTACATTGCAGGAACAATGAGACTCTGGGAGCACTCGGCCCTCCACCTACATGACACTTGACTACGCTCACTCACAATTACAACAGCTGCCAACACCACTACAGATTGTTACTTTGGTCGAGGGTTTTTGGATTGAAAATAGCATGTTGACATATAAATTCTTCCAGCTATAAAATTATGGAGTTTGTTTTAACACTGAGGTTTTGTGGTTTGCTGACTATGGGTTTTTAGGTGAAACACAGCTGGTAATAATATCAGAGATGTGAATTATAATGTTCACATGTATGTTTTCTCACCTCAGATTCACCTTTAAGCTAAAAGCAAAGGTATGGCATACCGTAGAGCTAATAGTGTCTCAGCCTTCTATTTATATATGTTTAAAAGGTTTAACCTGTTGCATGCATCTGTTACAACCAGCTATTCTAAGCAGCTGTCCTGAATCTTGTTTAATCTCTGAGGTATATTTAGCTCTGTCACATGCAGTAGTCAGACAATATTGTTTTTTGTATGTGGACGGAAGAGACTTATCTACTTTGTTGACTTAGGCCTTCATAGTGTTAAGACTATGGCACGTTAAGTGGCACGTTTCTGCCTGAAAAGAACTGCATGAAGTCTGTCTGTCTGCTAAGCCTGACATCACTTCCCAATCTGAAAAGCTCACAACCTCATGATGATGCTATATTGTACACTACTCTTCAAAGGAGAGTGATTTTTTTTTCAAGAAATCCATGGTTTTATTTAATGTTAATTTATAATGTAAATAAAGACAGTTATAATGTTGCAAAAGATTTCTAAGTCAATGCTGTACTTCATTTCCATGAAAGAATCATATATCTAATCCTAATCATATATCAAAGAAAAATATATCATGGTTTCCAAAAAATATTAAGCAGCACTCCCATTTTCAACTGTTAATAATAATAATAATAATAAATGTTTCTTGAGCATTCTCATATTAGAATGCTTTTTTTGTGTGTCACTGAAAATTGAAATGATTAGAATGTGTATTACAGCATTGTGACATTTTCCATTCAACACTGAACTAACAGTTAATATTAGTGAATTGTAAGCACATCATTGTTCAGAATCACACTCAGAAAATAATACATCTAATACGTGTGCTACTCCTCCCAATGTGTCTTTCCATAACTTCACCGTCTGCAATTGAAATTCTTTGGTTTGCAACTGCCTCTTCAGCACGTACGCTTGAAACCGAGCTGAGACATGGCCCAGCAGGATTTCCTCCATCTGACAAAAGAGTTAATCATGATTATTATTATTTCTTGCAGGAAGAGGGTGAGCTGATCGTGGAGGGTTTACTCAACATCTCCTGGGGCCTCAAGAGGCCAATCAGACTGCAAATGCATGATGACAACGAGCGCTTTCGCTATGCCTGCACGGGTGCGTGGAGGTCGGAGAGCTCAGAGTGCAGCAGGTGGGTGGAACAACACACCCAGATGTCTCCTTTCTTTCATTAGGTCGTAACTCCAATATGTTTCTTTCATTAATTCAATCATAGATGTCTCAATCCAAAGGTCATATGGGTGGAAAGCTTTTTAATAGGTTAAATTGACTGCTCTTTTTTATCTTTCTCGGTCAGCTTAGAATTAATCATAGATGATGTTTTTTTACTTTTCCTAAAATCCAATAAATTATTTTCTTTGAGATTTAAGGTATTTTTATCATAGCTGTAATTTGGTAGGTGTTGATGACCTGTGATCATTCTAGCACTAAAACGATAGCTACCACTGTAGCTATTCAGGGGTGCGTTTCCCGTACAGTGACATAACTCGCTGCTTAACTACCATGGTACGATGCATCGTTGAGGAAATCAACTAGCTAGTCACGACTGCTCCCTTACGATAGTTCTCTCGTATTGCGCAAGATAGCTTATGCTACGGGAAAGATTAATCTTTTAGAGATATTGAAGCCAAAAAATGATTCTTATTACATGCTTAGTACATGCTTAGCCGCTCTGTATTCCCAATGAGTGCTTATGTATTTGTGCCGGCTCGCGTTGCTGGCCGCCTTATTCTCCACTTATCTGGGATCCCTGAGATTCCCTGAGACTCATGTAGCTAGTGGATGCTTGGGGCGCACTCTGTTGACAAAGGGTTCCCGTAGCGTAAGCTACGAGAGAATCTCTTGTAAGAGAGCACATCGGTTACCTAATGTAACCTCGGTTCAAACACAAATAAGGGGTTTAAAGTTTATTCCAAATATTGGTAACAAAAATGTGGTTAGGCCTACACATTTTCTGAACTTTATTTAAATAAATAGAAAATATGATATAGTCTTGCTTCAACAGCTGCTGAAAAAGAACAGAATAATTGACATTATTCCATTTTTGCCATCCTTTTTTTGTACCATATCCATTGAAAGCTTATAGTTCATCATGATATCATTCAATTAGACATTTTTGTTCTTTACAGGAATGAAAATGGTGAACAGAGTTTTTCATACCAGTTTTCTTTAGAGCCCAACAACAACAAAATCAGTGGTACACCTGAACCCAGTGAGTATGAAAAAGATCCAGATCTTTCCACACAAAAAATTAGGAAAATCTTTAAATGCTCTTTTTAATTTTGAAGGTTGTTATAGACTATAATTCGTAACTGAATTGATCTCCGAATGTCTCATCTTAATAATAATACGTCTCTGATTGCTGTCCTGCTGCAGGTGTGGATGTTGCTGAGGAAGACATCCCTCAACTGCTGAGAACCAGAAGTGATGCGAGCTTTGTAAATATTCAAAGACGATCTAAAATCCACAACTCTGCCGATTCACAGAGAATAAAAAGAAACCGCTTCTCCATCAATGGCCATTTCTACAACCACAAAGTAAGTTTATTTTATTATTCTAAATAAGCAAAGTTAAACTTGAACTGTGATTATCTATAAAGCTTTCACTTCGAGAACACCAGGGCAGCCTTACAGGCAGAAGGCAGAGATGAGTTGGAAGTATTCATGCTCCAAGCTCAGGACAATAGTGCAATAGTGCTCACTGAAAGATAACATGCCTGGCCTGGTGCTCTCATAAAGTGCCACTGCAGCAACTAAGGGAAGTGTCTGTCGTCTAAGTGTTTATGCCGTACATCAGTGTTGTGAGATGGATGCAGGTGTTGAGAGGCAGTGTTTTCCTGTGCAGGCCTTCCCTTTTGCTGCACCATGTGCTTTTATTATCTGTTGTCGTCTGCCTCTCTCATTAATGGTCCTCGAAGGTCATATAAGTTGGCCTGTTCCCTTTGCAGGTGTGGAGATTTATGCATACACACACACACACACACACATGTAAATTCTACTGTTGCAAATAGTTTTACTGTACACTATCATTTATTTTTGCTTCATTTGTGAACAAAAGCATCTGCTAAAACATGAAACAGAAGTGCAATTGTCTTATGGCATAGATCAATTTATCATCACCACAGACTATATTACCTTGCTTTTATAACTTATTGTATTGTATAGTATACATTTTATTTTATTAACTTGATTAATCTTTATTGTAGCTCATTTTATTGTATCTTATGTTTTTTAAAACCTTAATTTGCCAAATTTTACAGTAATCTTGTAGCACATCATTTATGAACGATTGAACATCCTATTAACTATTGCTGAACTCGATCTCCTTTCTTTACAGACATCAGTTTTTACTCCATCATATGGATCAGTGACAAATGTACGAGTGAACAGCACTTTAACAACACAGCAAGTTCTTAACTTGCTTCTTAATAAGTTCCGGGTAAGTTTTCCCTAATTCAGCTGAATATGAAGATCTGTTCTACTCTTTTACTTCTCCGTTTTATACTTCTGTGCAGGTTGAAAGTAAGGCAGATGAGTTTGACCTCTACCTAGTTCATGCATCAGGGGGTAAGGCTTGTCATTCTTAAGTTTACAGTGTTTAGTTTGTGCAAGCATCAACAATGTGTAGATTATATGATTTTTTCCCCCCCATCTTTTGCTCCCAGAGAAAACAAAACTGAAGGACACAGAATACCCTTTGGTATCTCGCCTGCTGCATGGTCCATGTGAAAAAATCGCCAGATTATTTATTATGGAAAAGGACCTTGGTGAAGAGATTACATATGATGTGAGTATTTTGTACATATCAAAGTTCACAATAGGTAATCTGGCAAACTTGCATTCTGGTGTTCAAATTTAGATACAGTAAACAATGATTTCACTTCCAGATATCAAGTCTAATTTTAGGATCTTTCCAAGTGGAATAACAATGGTATATATAATTCTATTGCATATGTATAAACTAGTGTTAAAAAATGTAAGGTCAGTATTTTTTTTTCTTAATAAATACATTTATACAGCAAAATAAATTTAATTAAATTGATTTAAAAATACAGTAAAGAGAATTGTTAAATTATAAAATTATAAATTATAAATTTCAAATAAATGCTATTCTACTAAACTTTCTATTCATCAAATAATCCAGATTTTTTTAATCATGACATCCACCAAAAAAAATATAGAAAAAAAAATATTAGTCAGTACAACATTGATAATAAGAAATGTTTTTTAGCATAATAGAATGATTTCTGAAGGATCATGTGACACTGAAGACAGGAATAATGGCTGCTAAAAATTCAGCTTTTTCATCAATAATCTCAGAATAAATTATATTTAAAAATATTCAAATAGAAAACAGCAATTTTAAACTGTAATAGTATTTCACAACATTGCTGTTTTTAATGTACAGTATTTTTGATAAAATAAATGCAGACTTGGCGAATAAGGTTGGTGAGGATAAGAGACATCTCTCAAAAGCATAAACAAATCTTACCAACCCCAAACCTTGAACAGTACTATATGTGTGATTACTATGATGTTTTTTGTTAATATTCTGAACATTCATTGCTTATATTTCAGTGGTTAATGTATTAATGCATTGTCTTTCAGGTTGCACAGTATATTAAGTTTGAAATGCCCGTTTTGGACAGTTTCATCAAGAAATTGAAAGAGGAGGAAGAGAGAGAGATTTTAAAACTGACAAGAAAGTAAGCAAGCACAAAATTCTTTGTTCCCTCAACAACACAACAATATATTAATTTTTATCTTAAGTGTACTTTTGTTTTTTACAGATACAGAGCACTGAGGTCAATGATATTGCAGAAATTGGATGGCATCTCTGACGGTGCAAATTATGTGTGAGAAAATGTGCTGATGGTTTAAAACACTGGCATCTTTTCTATTGTACAGTCGACAGCAGTGAGCCACAGATAATTTTAGGTTTTTAATTTTTGGTGAAGACATCAGCACAATAACTAGTATATGAAAAGTATAATCTACTTGTATCTAGTAATTAACAGCTGAAATGAATTGTAACCATAATTCTCAGGTGTCACAAAAGACCTAGAATGTTATTTTATGATGCACTTATGCTCCATGATTTTAAAAGACGTTACATAACGTATACACGCCTGACATGTTTGTACAGTAATAATGTTACATTTTATACATTTTAAAATAAATCTAATATATAAGGAATTGTTCACTCGGTCTTGTGTATCATCTCTGTTTTGCTAACATACAGTGTCATGTTAGTTTTGTACTCGCCTATTAAAAGTCAGTTTGCCGTTATGATTATATTTCAAATTGATGCTAATGAACCTATTTATTCTATTACAATACAGTCCTGAGGTTTTTCATTTGATTGCCTCAAATCATTGTTTTATTGCTTGAGAAAAAATGTTGTTTCCCTCACGTTCACAATGAGCGTTTGTCATTGTTCTTTGCGTGACCCTTGTTCCCACAAGCGCTGGAGTGCCCATGTTACATACTGGAACAAGGAACTTTACTTAAGGTGGTTCCGTTTCCTGAACAAGTAGCACAAAGAGAAAAAATAAACTCATATAAAAAATAAAATGCGTTTGTGTACTCTTGTAGAATCAGTCATTTATATTTTAGATATGATTTGTAAATAATGATTTGAAATGTATTTGTACTTAAGAATGTGGTTTGTATTGACAACAGAAATGTAGTGAAATCTATGTTTATATTCTTTATTTTTGAGTACAACGTAGGAATATTTATGGCTTTTGGAATAATAGCTATAACCTGTCAAGAACACTTGACATTTTTTGTACGTTGAATGTAAATGCGCCTGCTGCCTATAGGTGCACGGCAGTCACTCCATGCGGAGTTGAACGCCCCCTGCTGGAGATAGGCGAAAGCGGGCAGCGTCTTTACCTACTACAGCCCTGCTTTGACAGTTTGACAGTTTTTAACCTGTGTTCCTGGACTCAAAAAACTGTTAGGGTATAACTAAACTTACAACTAATTATTTTACAATTGACAGCTTGATAAGTTGTACAATAGACTAATGACACTTTAATTATTGATATCTGGAATTAACATTTTTACTAGTAACAATGTAATTTTTGATATCAAAAATTATATTTCTACTAGTGAGAAATCAAATCAATTCTTGATATCAACAATTGATTTTGAATGGCAGTCTATGGTGACATTTCACTAGTGAAAATTCAATTGTTGAGATCAAGAATTACATTTTTGATATCAAAAATTCAATTGTAATTCTTTCTATCAACAATTCATATCCTGGAAATGAATAAAAGTTAAAATGGCTTGCCATAATTAGTTTACTAGTTGATGACGTTCTTTCCTGCCACTTGTGACGTCGCGTGCAAAGTATGAATAGGGGAGGAGCACGACACCGCACAACACACACACACACACTTCCCCTGCAGTTGTCGGAACTGCCATTTCATTTAGAGGGTAACGTTTTGTCTTTGGTAACGTTATAGTCTTGCACAAACAGATTCAATGGCACTACGTTCAGCACGTGATTCTCAAATATTTATAATTGGATGCGGCATCTCGGGAATTGGTGCTGCTCAGAAACTACTAAAACACGGGTTTCATAATGTTCACATCATAGAAGCGACTGCAAGAAGCGGTGGGAGAATACGAACGGGAAGACTGGGTAACGTTACTGTCATGTTGGCTGCAGTAGTTATGATTTCAAATTTGAGAAAATTATTTTTCTTTAATTACTGTTGAGGACATTGAGCTTTTGGTAATTTGTCATCATCGAATGACTCCGATGACTCTCTTATCTACCGTCTCTTAGGCCTTGTCCACCAAAGCGTTTTTAGCCAGCTGAAATCGCCTAGGGCCGTGTGTTTAGGGAGCTGAAAACGCTGCACTTTTAGAAAAAGGGGTTATAGGGATCTTTACTCAACTGCAAAGGACCTTTTATGCAAAACAAATTATGATTATGACAAGAAAGAACCCTTTTGGCGCAAAGGTTCTTTATAGGCTATTATTCTGCAACATTTTGCAGTTGTGATTAAATTATTGTTTATTAAACTGGTGTAGTACTAAGTTATTATCACATTTTAATCATGCTGATTTTTGGAGGATAAAAACTGAAATGGGACTCTTTGTCTGATATTGATTAATTACATTTTTTTAACCCCCATATCTTAAATTTTGTGATCATTCACATGCATTGCATTTTAGGGGTTCCATATACAGTGCGTAGCGCTAAAGGTTCTTACTTCTTTTATGATTTTCTTCGGGCGCTTCGCTTGAGAGCGTTCTGGCAGCGCAGCGTTTTTCCGTTGAGACTTTTCGTTGCTATGATACAGAATATCTGCAGCACAGTTAACTTGTAACTGATTTCGTAACGTTAGATAATTTGTTTTTAATACTAAAAAGATATTTTTCATCCATTTTGTTCGGTTAGCTCTGCTGGTTTATGTTGTAGAAGAATGTTGTGACAGTTAAGTTAGTCGGACAATATTTCTACAAGTACAGTAGTTTTAATAACTACAATATTTCCTGGCCACAATTTACACACACACACGTACACACAAAAAAATGTTTTTGCTTAATGTGTTGTTTCAATTATAATTGTTTTAATGTTTACATTATGCTGAAAAGAGGGGCAGGTTTCATTGTGACAACTTTTTCTATATAATGTGACAATATGTTTCACTATTGATGATTGAGGCACAACAGGTGTATTCAATTCAGTAGATTTTTTGTTGCCAAGATTAGAATGTAGGCCTACCCTGAGAAAAATCTCCATCTATGCCCGTCACATTTATTTTTATCAAATTTATTTCTTTTGTTCAAGGTCATAACATTGTAGAGATTGGCGCCAACTGGATCCATGGCCCTTCGAAAGAAAACCCAGTGTTTCGTTTGGCATGTGACTACCAGCTCCTTGACAAAGAATCCATGTCTGAAGAAAACCAGGCCATTGACGTTGGTGGTCATCCATTGTTTGCTCCCAACTGGTTTACCAGTTCAGGTCAGAAACTGGGGCCTGAGACGATGGGGCCAGCGGTGGAGTTGTTCATGAACTTACTGGAAAGGAGCCAGCAGTTCCATGACAGTGGTGGAGAACCTCTGCCGAGTGTTGGGGAGTTTATCAAGGCAGAGGCTGAACGGCTGGCCCAGGAGGAGTGGAAGGAGGACCAGGGTAACACTGCGATAAGAATGGCCATGATAAACACACTGCTCAAGCTGGAGTGCTGTGTCAGTGGAACACACACAATGGATGATGTTGGTTTGGGAGCCTTTGGCACGTATAAGACTCTTCCAGGACTGGACTGCATTTTCCCAGAGTGAGTGATCAGTCTTAGAGCCTTTCTTGTACATTTTTGAATCAAGGGTCTCAAATATCCATTTGCAACAATTATTTCTTAAATCGTTTTAAGTTTTCTAAATGTGTCCATGCACTCTTTTTCCACCTAGAGGTTATGAAGGTTTAATTGATCACATGATGAAGGAACTTCCCAATGACATAGTCTCGTACAACAAGCCAGTGAAGTGCATTCACTGGAACTACACTGAGAATGGACCAGACACTAAAGGAATGCTGTTTCCCATTACGATTGAATGTGTTAATGGAGAGACGTTTGCAGCAGACCATGTAATTGTCACCATCCCACTGGGTATGCACAGTACATTCAGCTTTAGCATGACTTGTTCGCATAGTTAAAGGGTTAGTTCAACCTAAAATAAAATTATCCCATAATTTACTCCAATGTTCTCAACAAGAACAAACGAGAACATTTAAAGAGAAATGTTGGACTCAGAGGAGCTTGAGTTTGTTGCCCAGCTTTATTTGTTTGAAACTGGAGATGCGTCTACTCTCGCCTAGTTTATGCATCCTACGTCATGCGTCAGGGTCAGAGTTCAATCTTCCGCCAGAACTCGACTCGTCTTTATTTAAATTTCCTAAAAACAATCACATCAAGAAGCGGTGGATTATTTTTGTGAAGAGCCAACCTTGATGGAGAGCTGAGGATGACCCGCCTCTGTAGAGATCATTTTACACGGGATAGTTGTATAAACTTTCATCGGAGACAACTGGGATTCGCTGATAATCCACTGTTACTGGTGAATGGGGCCGAACCGACTATCTCCCGCCTCTCCCACCATGTCCCCGTCCCGAAAGCAGTATCACCTAATAGAGCGTCACAGTCCCGCCCACAGCTCGAGAGAGCGTTGGTGCCGGAAGTAAATTTCCCATTCATTTTTCCCATTGACATTTTGTAAAATCCATATCTAAAGAGTATTAGAACATGGCTATCAGATTATTGGTTCTCTTATTTTCATTGTCACTTGACAACTTTCATTTAATATAGGTTAATATAAATAATTGTCTTTTTATTATAAAGTTGTATTCTTTATATTATATTGATTTTCATTGTATCATGAATGAAAATAAATAATTTTCATAATGTTTATAAATTCTTATTACTTTCTGCACATTCATCTGATGTGCTGTTCCATTACAGGGTACCTGAAGAAGCACCAGAACACTTTTTTAAGTCCTCCACTTCCACTGCAAAAATTGCATTCCATCCAGAGAATGGGCTTTGGTACCAATAACAAGATCTTTCTTGAGTTTGAGCAACCTTTCTGGGAAGAAGATTGTGAGTGGATCTATCTCGTATGGGAGGACGAGACCCGTCTTACGGATGTTGTTTCAGACGTTAAGATGTCCTGGATTAGAAAATTGAGTGGGTTCACTGTGCTGAAGCCCACAGAGAGGTAAACATAATCTTTGAATTTTCTTCCATATTGCCATTTAAACCATTATGAATGATTTTCTGACGTTGCATTGTGCAGATATGGATACGTGCTCTGTGGATGGATTGCAGGGCGGGAATCAGAGTACATGGAAACTCTGTCTGAATTTGAAGTGCTGCACACAGTCACACAGGTCCTTCGCTTATTTACTGGTAAACAAAAACATTTTTTACGAGTTGATAGGATATCGTTGAGTCCAAAAATCAGAGACCATATGCGAAATGTTGAATTAAAAATAAAATCTAATGCTTGTGTAAATTTGTGACTGCATGAAATAACTATGTATACATAAAACAGTCTTTTATAACACTTTTCAGGTAATCCAACTATTACACCAAGGAAGCTTTTAAGATCTCAGTGGTTCCATGATCCCTATTCCTGTGGATCTTACAGCTATGTGGCCAAAGGTTGCTCAGGATATGACATCGATAACCTTGCTGAACCGTTGCCGCTGAAAGGCTCAAATTCTAAGGTTTGTCAATGTTTAGCCAAGCATCTGTACTTCATTCTTCTGAGTTATATGCTGTTTCTTTCTTTACTCTTAAACTTGCTTTAAATTACTTAATTGATAATATCTTATAACATGAATGACACTTTGTTTTTGCAGCCTTTGCAGGTGTTATTTGCAGGAGAAGCCACACACAGGTCTTTCTTCTCAACAGTGCATGGAGCGCTGCTAAGTGGCTGGAGAGAAGCAGAACGTCTTATATCTCACTACATTCCTGCCTCTGGGTCATTCTCATCTAAACTGTGAAAACTGCTTGAGTTCTGAATAGCTGGATGGATTGACAAAAGTCATTTTCATTAAAACTGATTCTGTGCCTTAAAAGGGGAATAGAAGGAAATCATATAACTGAATTATTTAAAGCATCATGAATGTACTGCATGACGTGTTAAGTTTCAGTCAGCTCGTTCAACAAATGACGATTTTGTGTGTCAAAATTAATTATATGAAAAAAACGTCGCACACCTGCAGTTGGTAGGTGTGTAGGAAAAAACAACCAAAAAAAAAAAATCTGTCGAAAATATGCCAAGAGAAGAGGAGACCGAAACGTTGTTGAATAAAAAGTTTTTGATATGCAAGTGTGTCAAAATTACAAATAATTTCTCTCTGAATTCCTTTACTTTGCACAAATGTTAATTGTTTTTTGTGATCTGAAAATATTTTTTATATTAAAGAAATTTTCTAATACTTCACGAAGCGTGTGTTTGTTTTGTGTTTTATAGTTTAAAATATAACGAGGTTAAAAATAAACCAAGCTTACCTGGTTAAATTTTGCATTGAAATTGTGCTATATGGTCATGTTTACACTAATCTAAGATCATCAAAATGGTTCAGTCAGGTGAAGTCATACCCCTGAGATGGGCCTAGATCAAGGAAGGAAACATCGTAACTAGTAGCCCTACTATTAATTTTTAAAATTTGGACATTACAAATATCACCATAACTGTATTTACATTAAATACAAACCACTTAAGGCAAAGCAAAATCAAATAAAAATGAGTAGTGTGGATAATTCTTTTGTTTGTGCACAAACAGGGGAGAATGAGCTTTGGGATGTGCTGATTTCACAGTATGCAGTTTTTTAGTTCGAGTTAAATTTCATACCAGGAGCCTGTAAAACAAAAAGTATTTTAAAACTGATCTTGAATATGGGAATCCGTTCTTGTTTAACCTAGAATTTATGTAATGTTTTTGTCAGACCCACCCTGTAGGTGGCGGTATGCACATATGTAGTTGCTTCTCAACTCGTCACTAAAGCCACCGAAGAAGAAGATTCAGCGATGGAAATATGGCTTATCTTTCCAATAGACAACAATAAAAGTAACTTTCCTGAATGCCAATAACTGGTGAGTGGACTGCCACACTCCTGCAACTGCAACATTTCTGTTTATTTGTTACCTAAACAAAACTAAATAGAAACAATGACAGTTTTATTTTTGCGGTGATGTCACAAAATGTTTATTTACCACGGTTTCATCGTTCAACAGAGCACTTAACAACTGCCTTTTTTTGTTATAGTTCTGGTTCAGCCTTCGAAGGGATTCATGTCCAGTCTCAAAAACAATTACTACAGCTGAATGAGAGCTTTAAATCTGTTCATCAAAAGACTTTGTTGAAATGGAGCAAAGTTTGCCATCTGCAGAAGCAATCTCACAGCACTTAGTGAGTGGATGCTTAAAAAGTGAAAATGGATTGCAAACAGACTTCATTCAGTCAGAAATAGAAGTTAAAGTGGAACCTGATCAATATGACTCCTCATTGCTTGATGTGAATGAACTAGAAAGATTTCCGCTTTCTCCTGGACATGTCAAGGAGGAGATTTTGGACCATAGCCTTCAACTCTTACCAGATGGCCTAATGCCTCCAGTTGAGATGGATGAAGACCTTGAAATTGCAACAAACTCACACACTTCTCCAGATAAACCAAACAGAAGAACTGGTTCATCAAGCAAAAGAAAAAAACATACAGACAAACAAGGAAAAAGAAAAGCAACTAATGCATCAAGCCATACAATGAGATGTCCGACTGAGCAGAGTAAGAAAACGAATTCTAATGTGTCAAGTGAAGGAATCAAATGTTTAATAATGCAGGGAAATGCCACACACCATCCAGAGAAATCAGGTAAAACCAGAACATCCATTAAACAGCATAAAGAAGACCAATTTATTTGTGAAACCTGTGGGAAAGAATTCCAGCGGTCAGATCTTCTCACGGATCACATGAAAATTCACAGGCGACAGAAGCCGTACACGTGTGATCAGTGCGAAATGAAGTTCGCTAAGCCCTCTTATTTGAAAATACACTTGCGTAGACATGCCGGTGACAGGCCTTTTCCGTGTGACCAGTGTGAGAAGAGGTTTTTTGACATCTATGACTTAAGGGTGCACCAGAGAGATCACACTGGAGAGAGACCTTATACGTGCTCCGAGTGTGGGAAAGGTTTTAAACGCATTTACATACTTAACAAACATAAACGGACCCACTCCAAGGAGAAACCTTTCCAGTGCTCTGTGTGTGGTAAAGCATACAAATATGGTTACAGTTACAGGTTGCATATGAAAGACCATCTTGACTAGGGTCCATGTGTGTTGGCATATAACAACAAAAGGGTCTACATTTTTTTTTTATTCCTTCTTCAAAGGAAGATGATTTTCCTATGTAAAGTGTAAAATGTGCTTAAAAAGTTATTGGATTTGAGCGGGTCTTTTTTTAATGTATTTTTTTATGTGGATTGAATCATTGATGAGTTTGTTCCACTCTCGAAGAATCCAGCTAATGAAGTTGTCCAGTGATTTATAGTAGACCATACTCTTGCTTATTAAATATATTTCATGTTTTAAAAGCAGGTTTCTGTGACCTTTCTGTTGCAAGCTTGCATTAAATATTAGGGGATTGCAGACCTAAGTCTCAATTCTCTTTCTGACAATTTGTGTTTAAAGAAATAGTTCAAAAGAATTAAATGTGACAAATCAGTATAGAATTAACTGCTTATTTGTTTATCATATGAAGTATCAACACTGTAAAAACAAACCTTCATTGAATGAATTATTGATAGAATGGTAATGGTTTGGATATAATGTAATTTCGCTATATTCTGTATTTCTATGTATCATCAAGATTTTGAGGTCAGTAAAACATTTTTTTTATGTTTTTCTTTGCATTTCATATTCTCTATAAGGCTTTATTTATTTGATCAAAATAGTAAGAACTGATTTTGCGATATAATAATAAATAATATACATGATAAAATATAATTTATCATGTATTCAGTGTCGCATGATTCTTAATAAATCTATATCTAGATTATTAAATCGATGTGCAACTCTTGTTCTGCTTAAAATTTATGGGCAAATAGTGTTACTTTGTTTTCAGCATTCTTTAATGAATAGAAGGTTCAAAAGAACAGCATTTATTTAAATTCAAAATCTTTCAAAAAATTCAACATCGTCACTTTTTACAGACCTCAAACTTTTGAACAGTAGTGTGTGTGTGTGTGTGTGTGTGTGTATATATATATATATATATATATATATATATATATATATATATATATATTTGTTTTTTTACTGGACATAATTTTATTTCAACCTGTATGACTTCTGTGAAACCAAAAGAAGACTCCTCCCCCTATACAATGAAAGTCAATTCTGGACCCCACTGACTTGCATTGTAAGAAGAAAAGCAGTTGAAATATTCTTCAAATTGTTTCATGTTGTGTTCTGTAGAAGAAAGAAAATCATACTGGTTTGAAATGACTTCTTCATGTTGGAGTGAGCTATTATTTTAACATTTCTCCACCAGAGGGAGGCCAACTCTGCACGTTATGACCTCTCCTGATTTCACTTTTAGTTTTGAGTAAGCAAAGGCCCAATATGCAGCCAGTGACTGTTCAAATCTAAATGTTGACTACAAAAAGGATATGTCTTTTTATATTAAAAGTTGCATCTTCTGAAAACAATTTTAGTGTGAAGTAATATGTAGTGTATTGGATCAGATCGGTTTATACTGTGCAAGAGAAAAGAGAAAGTTGAATGTGTGTTTTAAGGTGGAATCATGTAAGTGATATGATATACTGTTTGTGCTACAAGATTAAATCACATCAATAATTACCATTGATATGTTGAATTTGCTTGTAATTTTAATTATGCCAATGTAACTGTTTGTGCTTGTGTTTATATTTTTACAGTTTTGTCCATGGTGCACCAAAAGGCTGAGGTTACAGGTTCACTAACAGAAGAATATGAATCCATTGCTGACCCTGATTTAGAATCGGAGATCTCTGATAGTGATGTCCCAGAAAGCAGCAGTGTCCCAGATGTGGCAGAGGGTCAGAAAACTCTCCTCACAGACTTTGAGTTCTCATCTGAGGAATCCTGTGATGAGGAGGAGAGTGAAAATCGCTTTAGTCGATGGAGCAAAGGAGACTCTTATTGGAGCAAATATCCTCCACAAAGTGACACCAGGACTTTCTCAGAGAGCTGTCAAGGACCTGCACTAGGGGCTTTACTGGTGACACCTAAAGATGCCTGGGAACTTTTCATAAGCGATAACATCATTGATGAAATCGTGCAATGCACCAACTTTGGTGGACAGAGAGCAGCGTCAACAAAAGGCAAAGTTTGGCAAAAGGTCACTAAAGAAGAGCTAAATGCCTTTATTGGTCTAAGCCTTCTCATCGGTTTGGAGAGAAACGGTGATGTCCCAGTACGGGAACTGTTTATGGATCCGTTACATAACCCACTGTTTAGAGCTACTATGTCTGTTGGAAGATATGAAGACCTTCACGGATGCATGCAGTTTGATGATAAGAAAACCAGAGTGCTAAGAGAGGCATCAGACCACTTGGCAGCCTTCCGAAATGTGTGGGACATGTTCCTGATCAACTGTAGGAAAGGGTTCATCCCCAAGGATTGTGTCACTGTGGGTGAGCAGCTCGTGCCATTCCGGGGAAGATGCAAGTTTCTGCAACACTGGCCAAGACTCCCCACCAAGTATGGCATAAAAATCTTTTGGATGTGCGATGCCGAGGTTCCCTACGCCATTGATGCTGTCATCTACACAGGCAGGCAGCTAGGAGAAGAGACTGAAGAGAACCTTGCAGAGAACACAGTTCTGAGGTTGTCCAGTGGACTTCAGCAAAAAGGTATTGTTTTTTTTTCTCCACAACTTTTTGTGATTTGTAAGGAATAATGTGTTACCAGTATAAGGCTCAATATCAGTTTTTTTTTAATTGATACATATACAGGAAAGATGTATTAAATTGATCAAAAGTGCCTTTACAGTCATAACAGGAAAATAATTCAGCAAAGTTTGTGTCGTAGTCCAGCTTAAGAATGTTCAGTGATGGTTTATTTTTGTTGTTATTAATTAAGTTTTTAATTTAGTTCATTTATATATATAGCCGTTCTGGGGAAAATCGTGATTTCATCATCCAGCTCAGTTCAGTTCTCATATAATGGTGTCAAGGCAGGCAAATCAATAATATTGCAACATGACATCATGACTTTTGCGTAAACATACATGCCCACTTTCAAGTCAAGTGGCGTGTTATCTATACGCATTTTGAGCTATCCGCGTGCATGTACACACCGTTAATACCCGAGTGATTCCGCGTGCATGTACACGCCGTTAAATGTCCGAGCGAAACGAAGCAAAATGTAGATCTACATCTGGGGAGCGATATTTTTTTTTCCTAGGATGGTAGGGGAAGACTCATAAATGCTATTAACCTCAGTGACGGGTAGGTTTAGGGATGGGGTTGGGGTAGGTCATATATTTATATATACAGTAATGTAACGCTAAGTCAACGGGGTTCATAAACACGCTGAAAAGCGATTATGTGTGTTGATAGCACGCCAAAAATGGAAATACGAATTGGCGTGACATACACCCGCAATTTCATGAGATCAGTCTGAATATTGTTAAATAAATGAATGTCCCCGACTAAGCAAGCCAAAAGCTAAAGTTGACAGTTGCAAGGAACCAGAACTCCATCAAGCTGAATGGAGAAAACATTTAGAAAATTGTAATAGTTTTTCAAAATATTATATACTTTATATGCACTTAAGATTCAGCAGTGGGGGAAACAGTGGTACAGGAAGTAGCCATTTAGCTGGCGGTTTGATCCAAAGCCACTATCTCTAAATTTACACTTTGGAACACTTAACTGCCTTTCTCAAAAGCACATAACTTCATACTAGTTCACTTATTGTCGGGATCAAACCTGCAGCCTTCTAGATACCAGCCCTGAACCTTAAACACTGCCATATCATTGTTTTTGTGTTACCTGTTGCTTTTTTATGTTTTTTTTCTCATGATAGGTCTCAACATTACAATAGAAAGCTACTTAGCCAGTATCCCCCTGGCAGAGATTCTTTTTGAGAAAAACTTGACCATGGTTGGGACCCTTCACCATAAGAATCCACATGTGCCACCGATTATGAAGCCATCCAAGTTACGGGCGCTGCATACCTCTGAGTTTGGTTTTTGTGGCAATGTGTCCATGGTGAGCTATGTACCAAAAAGAAAAAAGGCTGAGATTTTTTTAAGTACGTTGCATACCAGCGAAGCACTGAATGAAACGGGTGTTAAAAACAAGCCAGAGGTCCTTCAGTATTACAACCGCACCAAAGGAGGAGTCAACAATGTTCAGCAAATGGCCAACAATTATGCCTGCAAGCGGCGTACGAAGAGATGGCCCATGCTGTTGTGGTATAACATGTTGAATATTGCCATTGTAAACTCCTTCTCCATTTTCAATGCTCAGCAGCACCCTAGCTTCATGGGAAGTGGTCATAACACCCAGCGGATGTTCATAAAAGAGCTGGTGAAAGAGCTTGTAGCGCCTCAGATTCATAGGCGCAAAGAAAGCCATGGATTATCCAAGAACATCCTTGAGGCCATGGGGAGATGTGGGGTGCCCACATCGCTGTCAGCTGTCACTTTCACACACGAAATCCAAGAACAGGGCTGTCAGAAAAGAAGAAGAAAGAGATGTTATTACTGTCGATCTAAAAGAGACAGAAAAGTGAGCAGCCACTGTTGTGAATGCAGTAAACCTGTCTGCAGAGATCACAGTCACATGGTAGTGATTTGCTACCAGTGCATGCCTTAGCAGTTTCAATGTCTTTCTGTATTGATAATGAGTGTATTTTTGACAAGTTACATTTCTAAAAGATTTTTGAAGTGATTTTGTTTAAAAGATTCAATGTGTATCATACTGTAAATATGGGTTCTTCAAATATTTGAGTTAAAGCTGCAGTCCGTAATATAATAAGCAAGCGAGTACATCATGAATCCATTTTCCAAACCGTGTCTTTGTCTAATCCTGAATTACTAGTACACCTATAATAATTGTTGATATTCTGACTATTTTAGACTTGAACGGGTGGTACCACTGTGGATTAACCCAGTACCTGCGCAATTCGTCATAGTCATAAACAGAGAAGTAGGTTCGGCTACAATGTTCTTCCGCAAGATGCTTGCGATTCTCAACGCCAAAAATATGAGTACGACTGTAGCTTCAATTTTGAATTAATATTTAATTGCACCATGTAAATTTGACATTCATCTTTTTATATACAATGTTGAATTAATTGATATTTAACAGTTTTATGGATTAAACTTGATTGAACATATTGTGGGTAATAGCTGTTCATTTTAAATCAGCTTGGTGAATAAAGTGTTCTAAAGTGTCTGCAAAAGGACAAGTCGAGTATATTAACAAAGCCACATGGTGGAGCAAAAATCAGTTGGCGATTCAAGATTACCAAGAGAAACTTCAGGTGAGTTAATCAAATGTTGAAATAATCAGCTTGTGTTGTAGTCTTTTAGATTATTTTGAAAACCTTCTAGTCCAGAAAAATACAACTTTTATGTTCTTTCTTTCTTATAGCTATTAATTATATAATACGTCTGTGCTTCAGTGTGGTGGATTAAATTCAAAACAAATGTTCATTGTTAAACTAATATTTGATTTATCTTTTCTTTTTTTTTTCTTTCCCCCAGGTGTTTTTAAGGCACATTTTCTCTGGGGTCTGTTTGTGGGTCATCATCATCATTTAAGACTCTCACCCCTGTTGTTAAATAAACAAAGCCATTTGCTTACACCAGCCTATTGGCTTCCTTAAGGTGTTTAGTTTCACATATACTAACCTGTTCCATATGAACTGGTGTCAAATTTTTTGTTTTGTGGAGGGGGATTTTCTAAAGCGTTTTAGTGGTTTTATTTCCTCTAATATTAAGCATAGGAGTAAAACTATTAAATATCATTAAAATGCTTATGAAATAGTTGATAAATAGTTATAGTAATTAAAACAATTGTAAGCTATAAAATCGCGAACTAAGCCATTTTTTGTAAGAAGTTGCATTTTTAAATAGGTTCCGTCATCAACATGAATATTCTGTTCATGTTAGAAAATAGCCAGTAATCAACAGGTTGTCCCTACAAGACTATGTTAAACACCGAGTGTTGATTGGCTGTTAAAGACAATGACGCGCGCAGACGCCATATGAATATTCAATGAGTGCCTTGCTGGTACAGTGCAAATAAAGCGAGATAACGGGCCGTGGACAGCGGACTAAAACTTTTTATTCTGACATGTCAGAGCGATGACTTTTGTGTAAATATAAACCTGGGACACGGATCCCAGCGAAGGAATAGGGTCTAAGCTGGAAGAAGAGAGAAGCGCTGATTTTTTTGGGTGTGGAAAACCGGACGCCGCATTCACTGTAGACTCTGAACAAGTTTGCCTTTTCCAAAAGCAATAGTGGAAGATTAAAAGTTATAGTAACAACATGAGCTTGTTGTCTGCTATAGACACCAGTACCTCAGTGTACCAGCCTGCACAGCTTCTTAACTGGGTTTACCTTTCTTTACAAGACACGCATCAGACGAGTGCTTTCGATGCCTTCCGACCCGAGCCCAACTCTTCCCATCCGGACCTGAACTACAGCAAAACTCCTGCCAATGACCTGAGCTCCTCTCTCAACTCCAACTGTCTTAACAACTTCTTTCAGCTGCAGAGAAATGAGGTAATTTGTTTTATGTCATCCTACATTTCTTTTATTTTGGGGGATAAGTTAATGGAAATAACGGTCGAGTGTAATAGGATTTATTATGTAAAGCGCAGTTGATGCATGTCAAATATAGCGCGCGACTAAATTGGCACCAACTTGGTTACATTTGGACAAAACACCGATGCTTTGGGTGATTTACACTTTTTTTATTTTATTTTTTTTTATCGTAGGCTAATCTCGTTTTTGTCATGGGAAACTTGTAACAATTATATTGCAGGCTAATATATTAGGCTATAGGCCTAATTAATGTAATAATTTATTTAGTAAAGTTATACAATGCGAAAAGCGTAGTCCTTAAGTATTTGAAAGCACACTAAAACCGTGCCAGTTTGCAGCTTTTCACACTTAGTTTATTGTTTTGTAACAGCACGTGGACAGCCAAATGTGGCAGCCATCCATGAAAGTATAGTTTGATTATAAGACGTACTTGCATTTAATTTATTGCTTAATTTGAAGACTCTTAAAAAAAAAAAAAAAAAAAAAAAAAAACCAGAAGTCTCCGTTTAATTAATGCTTGAGATAGGCCTACAAATGTGGGCTGCCATAATTGAGGTCATGAATATGAAAGATGTTGCTCGTTTGTGATGTTGCTATAGTTGCTGAAGACATGACACTCGATCTGTATTACATTTTATAACGTAAAGGAAGTTGTTAATATAATCAGTGATTGTCCCTGAGCGACTAGATTTGATTGTATTATCAAAAGTGCCAGATTATGAGAAGAACATAATTTTCAAGGAAAATTATGAACTAGGAAGTGTTTACATTTACAATTAAAAATATTTCAAGATTCGACTGAGACTAATGTAGGCTACTTTTGGGATTATATAGGTCAAGAAAGTCAGGAATATGGGTGCGGTTTTCAATTATCATTACATTAAGGTTATACTTTTAAAATACAATGGTTTTGACAATATTTAAAATTTAAATATAATGGTTATTATGACAAGTCTGTTGAATCTTTTTGTACTCTTCAGGTCATTTTTCTAAATAAGAAAATTACTTCCAGAAGCGTGAACATGTAAAGCTTTTCTTTTTAATGATGTAATGACAGTGTTGTGGCTGAGGGAAACAAGGAAAGTGTTGATGTTTAGTGGAAAGTTTGAGGAAGGGCAGCAAAACCTTCATTTGTAATCAGAGTTAATAAAAACAGTTCTTTCTCTTTGTTCCCCTGCCCCCTCTTTTTTTCTCTCTTTTCTTTTTCTCACTTGTGGAGTGCATAGAATGCTTGCAAAATCCCCTTATTACACAAATTTCAGTTATATCACAGTTCTTTTTTCCATGTGAGGCCGAAAATCAATCTGGCTACTAAAATATTTTAAAATAAGGAAGAAGGTTGGAACAAGATTTTTGCACTATTTTTGTTTGCATAACTTTTCTGGGAAAATGTTAACCAGTATTGTGTGTGTGTGTGTGTGTGTGTGTGTGTGTGTGTGTGTGTGTGTGTGTGTGTGTGTGTGACTGGCAGTAGTACAGGCTAGGAGTGACCCCCTGGCTGTCTCTCCAGCTGTGTGAAGGGGTGAGGAAAGATGTCCTCCTGGTGTAAATGTGTGTGAGTGAGGGCCATATCCCTCAGGAGAGACATAGCCAAATTCCTTTCTGACAGCTACAATCAGTATTGTGGTTTCATTATTGTACAAAAGTCGATAATAATTCCATGAGCGCATTCAGACATAACTGCAATGCTGACCATCATAATTATTGTATTTCCATGGCATTTAAAACATGGCTGTGCAGTAACTCCATGCATTTCATTTGCCTTTTCAGAATTACTTGTTGATGTTTACTATCTGTTGGTCATAACACAGACAAAATAACAGTGCAGCTAGATGCTTCATGACACATGACATAGCTTTTTATTGGCCAATTTATTTTGAACATAAACACATCGAAATATTTCTTATTTCTTTTTACTCTCGAAAATAATACAAAATATATATATATATATATATATATATATATAGGGCTGTGCAAAAGTTAATTGCGATTAATCGCATCCAAAATAAAAGTCTGTGTTTACATAATATATTTGTGTGCGCTGTATATAATTATTTTGTATATATAAATACCTATGCATGCATGTATATATTTAAGAATTATTTGCGCTTAAATTCTGTATACATCTATAAATACATAATCTATATTATATAAATATAAATATTTTATATATGAATAACACATTTTCTTAAATATATACATGCATGTGTGTGTATTTATATATACAAAATAATTATATACAACACACACAAATATATTATGTAAACACAGACTTTTATTTTGGATGCGATTAATCGCAATTAACTTTTGCACAGCAAAATGTATATATATATATGCAATGGAATTTGAATTTGCCACATATACAGCTATATATATATATATATAAATATCTAATTGCTGTATCCAGAGTTGCTCTACCTGATGAAAAGAGACTAGTCTGAGAGATATATGCAGAAACTGTTTATTGTCCTGGCTTACTGAGAACTAGATGACAGTTATCTGGACTTGCCACATAAAGTTTCAGGACTATCCAACATGAAACTTCAACAATAACATAACCTTCCAAACCGTAACCAGAGGAAGACATCACTCAAGCAACATCTTCCCATCCAAACATTTGTTTCAGTAGCGTGTGTTTGACGTCTCTCAGTGGTTAAATACGTAGCAATCTGATTTGCAAATCTTAGACTGATGTGCTTATCACTGACTTTAGTAGATTATGCTGCCTCAATTTAGGAACTGATTCTAAATTAGGAGTCTCATTATATAGTTAATATGCCTAAGATTTCCACATCACTAAGGATATTGTTTTTTATTTTTTGGATTTAATTAAGAGCAGCATATTATTGAAGTGTTAGTTCACCCAAAAATGGCTCATCCTCATATTGTTCCATACCCGTATGGCGTTTGTTCATCTTCTAAACACAAATTTTTTTTTTAAATTAAATCGTAGTGCTTTCTGTCCCCTCATTCACTGTCTACGAAATTACCACTTTCAAGGTTAGGAAAGGTTGTAAAGACATCATTAAAGTAACCCATGTGACTCCAGGGATTTAACCTCAATTTTATTAAGCGACACAAGTGCTTTGTTTGAGCTTTTGTATTGTGTTGACATGAGAGCTGACGTTCTTGCGTGAATGCACATTGGAGATTAATGTTTTTTTAAAATAATATATTATGTTTTGTTTTGCCCAAACAAAGTACTCGAGTCATATGCATTACTTTAATGATGTCTTTACTACCTTTCTGGGGTTTCAAAGTGGTAGTTACCTTGCTGATAAGGGACAGAAAGCTCTCAGATTTCATTAAAAAGATCTTCATTCGTGTTCCGAAGATGTACGGGTTTGAACAATATGAGGGTGAGTAATTAATGAGAGAATTAAAATTTTGGGGTGAACTTACCCTTTAAGTACATTGTTTCTTTAATTTTTTGCTTCTGTGTTCATATTGGGATAACTAATTTTTGGATTGTGGATGTCCTTTTATGTTTTGCAGGCCCTGAATAATGGTTTATACAAAAGCGTGTCCCCGTACGGCTCTCTTAACAACATAGTGGATGGGCTGAACTCTCTAACGGACCACTTCTCCGACCTCTCCCTGTCCTCTGAGCCACGCAAGCCCAGCAAGAGACCTCCACCAAACTACCTGTGCCATCTCTGCTTCAACAAGGGACACTATATCAAAGACTGCCCTCAGGTAAGCAGACAGAGGCACATGTAGCCTCATTGGCCTACTTGCCAAACAGGCATCTCTCTGTCTTTTTAGTCATGTGTATCTAGTTAATTCAGAGAGCTAGTGTGCTGAGCATTGAGAGGTAACACAAGGCCACTGAGCAATGCTTTTTTCAAGAATGGAAATCATCTGATTTTTCTATCTCGCGTCCAACAGTGACATCAGTCGATAAAATAATCACATATAAAATGTGCTAAGCAAGAAATGATGCGTGCAATCACTTTCAGATACTTTTCTTAGCCCCTTTTTGGCTTTTGCAGGTGATATTAGCCGTTGTTGTTCTTGGAAATGCAACTATGCATAGATTCATGAGAATATGTTTACAAGGCAACACATTTGTGTTCAAGTTAATGTGGTATGAATGGACTCAGTGAGACAAGAAATACTGCAAAATTTGGAGATGCCAGAGTGAGAATGTTTTGAAAGATAAACAGGTGACAAGTTTATGATTTAAATGTGCTTAAATCCACAGTTTTACTAGGAAATAGATGGGAAATCATGATAAACCACTCCCTGACCTTTAATTGTCTTGTTTTGACTATTGCAAGAGCATTCTCAGAGTGATGTTAACCCTCAGGACAAGGAAAAACATATATCCATGCTCCTTTAAAAAACTATTTTAGTTTCACTTTTTAAACATGAATGCATAGCACGGTTTGAATGCATATCAGAGAACTGGATCTTTTCTTCATTCCAACATTGATGTCATGAATAAAAAAATGTTAAACTTGCAAACATTCCAGAAACAAAGATAAAATGCAAGTGTTTGTAAAGGAGACAGTGTCATCTTTAATTTCAAGCCATTAGTGTTTTATAGTCTTTGGACACAGAGACAGGGTGAGGTTCTTGTTCAGGCCCTGAGCCCCAGACTCAAGTCAGAGCTGCATGGAATGGTAATGCAGACCAGATGTGGGATTAAAGTGGCAAACCTCCCTTTATGAAAGATGATGAGAGTTCCCTGCAGACTGCTAAAAGTCCTATCATGATAAAATATCTCCACCTCTTTGAGCTCGGCTCAGGTAATTTACAGACTTTCCTCTGATGTTGTCAACATTGTGCACTGAAAATGTTTGTTTTTATAAGGATGTTTGCTGTCCCTGACTTGTGATGGAAAATGTTGCTAATGTGCAATTAGGTTTATAACGGATTGAACCGTAGTTGTGCCAGTGTTATGATGTAATCGTGGATTCATTTACGAAAACATAGCAGTCATGGTCTGTTATATAATTGTTATTGCCAATAAGTTTGCTATTTCAAACATCTAATGCTAAGGACCCCAAAATATGAGGATTCCTCTCCTTAAAATATACAAACTGTGCACATATAATGCATTTTATACATGAAATACAAATCGTTTCATGCATACTTATTTATACTGTGTGTAAAAAAAATAAGTTGTTGATTACCATAGGGCGGTCGAACGATTAATCGCGATTAATCGCATCCAAAATAAAAGTTCGTGTTTACATAATATATATGTGGGAGCACTGTGTATAATTATTTTGTATATATATATATATATATATATATATATATAAACACACACATGTATATTTAAGAAAAAAAAAACTATTTATATATAAATATATACAGTATATACATGAAAATATTTCTTAAATATATAGTACATGCATGTGTGTGTATTTATATATATAAAATAATTATACATAGTGCTCCCACATATATTATGTAAACACAAATTTTTATTTTGGATGCGATTAATCGCGATTAATCGTTTGACAGCCCTAGATAACCAACATGATGTTTGCAAAATTAAATAATTGCCTTTACATTGTTACTGTACTGAAGCCAAAGCATTTTAACCATTTTAACAATTTTGACAATTTTATTATGTGGATATGTTTTCTATACACTATTAGAGTAATGCTAGATGTATAAACCTGAAAATAGATATTAAAAGTTACACTTAACTTTGACAGCCTTAAAATACATAACAAAAAATATGAAATATTTTTTTTCCTCTCACATTTTCTACAACCCCGCTTTTAAAGTTAAAAAATCATTTTCTAAAGCAAAGTACAGCCTTGGAAAACAAATACTAAAAGAACAAATGTTAAGTTTTATTAGGACAAAACACAGCAGGCTATAAAACTAGCCGAAGACTGGTCTGTAAATCACCTTCAGAACTGTCGTGTTTTAAATTTCAGTTGCTTGTGTGAATGTCAGTGGAAACACAAGAAAAGTCAAGTCCCACGATAGTGTCCACACCTACTCAAATCAACACTAATGCATTTTACCTCCCCCTGGAGTCTCACTTTCTGTGATTTACTTTCCATTTGTCATACGACGCATCCACGTATTTACCCTTCCAGATGCAATGATTCTCCCTCGATTCACGTCAAAAAGGACAGTTGGAAAATGATGAACATAGCCAATTTGATCTTATCTCAAAGGAAATGAATTCCAGGGTAAGCTGGTCCCCACTAAGGGTTTGTCCTGTCCAGAGGACTACATACTCCGTGCCAACACAAACACTGAGGATTTGACTTCACAGGGCACAGCGGGACCTGTGATCTAAAGCCAGCGCTGAGAATCACATTCTCGTGCGTTCTCCCAGTGCACTGTCTAGGTCTCTATGCGTTTCCCAGCAGAAGAGATATAGTGGGCCAAGCTCCCCACTCAGAGCAGGGCCAGAGTATCAAAACACAGCCATTCCGGCCAGATAGGAATTGGGGAATGTCACGGCTCGGTTGGAGAAGAGCGTGGGGGCAGGAAGCGTGTTGGTTATGTCTTCTGGTGTGTGTGGTTCAGACTCACATGTGTCACCTAAGGGAAGTGGTTCTGGCCCTAGCAGAGCTCCACAGGGAGCACTAGATAGAAAAGAACACCATTGAGCAGGCAGCTGTTTGACCAGCGCTGCTCTGCCCAGGGCCAGTTAGTGAGAGTTATGTAAACAAGTCCGACTAATTGGGAATGTTTTTGCTCTGTCATTCGTTACCCAGAATTCCTGTGACCTCAAAAAGCCGTTGCCCAATTCTTGTTTATGTGCCAGTCGAATATCTGATTGTTGCAGTCGATGAGGGTCAATCTGCCCTGCATACAGAGGTGCAGTGGGATTTCCTCATGGAAAATGTGTGCGCTGGAATGCGGCATGCAAAACCGTAAGAGTCCCTGCATGTAAGCTCAGCTCGTGAGTCATGTCCTCTGTAATGCATCCCTATTGCCAATGCCCTTTTTTGTGTCACAGTCTCATAGTGACAGTGGATGTCATTCACAGTAAGTATTCTGACTCCCACCCTAAACCGATCAATGTGAGTCTTGTTAGGAAATCGCCGAAACATGGTACAGGGTGCAGAAAAGAATGCCTTTTGTTGTATGATAAATTACTACAGGGCAACAATCATGTTTCTGTCTCCTACTTACATTTTCCCTGCTTGATGTGTTGTGTTAGTGGCGTTGTGCAACACAAGAGATGCTGGATGTTTTGTTTTGTTTACTCAATCCATGCTAGAACACATTTTATAATCGTACAAAACCAACTGTTATTGTTCATTTTTACAGTTTTTTTCAATAAGTATATTCTAAATGTAATCAATATTTATTTTAGCCAGTTTTATCTTTTATCTTTAGTCGACGAAAATAACGTTTTAGTTGCTAAATTAAAGCATATATTAAAACAGTTGAAATATTGAGTAATATATCACAGCTTAACCTGAGCTGCTAAAATAACAAGAAGAACTCTAATATTGTGAATTCTTTATGTTTTAGTTGTTCATTGTCTATTTTAAGTGTCTTAGGGAAAGGGTGTAATCACACAACATACAGAACCAATATAATTGTACAGAACCAACTGTTATTGTTCATTTTTTTTTAAATAAGTATATTCTAAATGTAATCAATTTTTATTTTCAGCCAGTTTTACACAAAATGGACCTCTTTAGTCGATGAAAATAACATTTTAGTTGCTAAATTAGGCTAAATTAAAGCATATATTAAAACATTTAAAATATTGAGTTGAGTAATGTATCACAGCTTCGCTGCTAAAATAACAAAAGGAACTCTAATATTGTGAATTCTTTATGTTTTAGTTGTTCATTGTCCGTTTTAAGTGTCTTGGGGAAAGGGTGTAATCACACAACGTGACTAACACATTCTGACTAGCATGTAATCTGGCATGTCTAGTTCATGTTGACTTGTGCGTTTGTTGTAATATGTTTTGATCTTATACATTTGATGTAATGTAATATTTAGTTTATGTTGTGTATGTATGTGATTAATCCATTAGGTGCGAACACTTTACTGGTAATCATACACTGATCAGCTTCAGCTTACACAGCCGTATCAAGGCAATCATTATTGACTATTACTGTAGTGAATTATTTGAAACAATCGGATTCTTTCTAGATTTTCCGTGTTAAAAAATACAGTGTTAGGGCTCTTTCACACAGAACGCATTTTTGCGTTTTTAGACGTTGCAAAACACGTAAAAAAATATTTTCATGATTTGCATTTTTTTTTGTCAAATCAACTTAGATAATTTATGACTGTAGTTCAGATAACATAATATTTTGAGTTTCTGATGATTAAATCAATCTCCTTCATTGTATTAACTCAATTTTTTCATTTCAATGAACTTAAAATGTTAAGGCAACCAGGTTACTTATTTTTTTAAGTTAAACCAACAATATTTTTTTACAGTGTTGAAGTTGTTCAGGATGTGCATTTTCCGTGTTGTCTTTATAAAACAAAAAGCACAGTTTGTTAATGATATTTTTTGTCAGTATTTTTGTTGACAATAGTTATACTGCATAGTATATTTGTAAGAATTTCAGCGACGAGACAGATACAGTAGATTATACTCAGCTGGGTCTGTTGTTGCCTTCATATCCTTTGATGGGAAAATTGTAGATTCTTTTATGTTAATCAAAAACACATGGATGTCATTGGTTTCATACAGCGCTCTCATTATTCTTTTGACATAATACATCTCTTGTTCAAATCGT